TCACCATGTTGACCAGGATGGTCTCGATCTCTTGACCTCGTGATCCACCCGCCTCTGCCTCCCAAAGTGCTGGGATTACAGGCTTGAGCCACCACGCCCGGCCTTATATCTTTTATTTTTTGGAGACTGAGTTTCACTCTTGTCACCCAGGCTGGAGTGCAGTGGCATGATCTTGGCTCACTGCAAACTCTGCTTCCTGGGTTTAAACAATTCTCCGGCTTGGCCTCCTGAGTAGCTGTGATTACAGGTGCCCGCCACCATGCCCAACTGATTTTTGTATTTTTATAGAGATGGAGTTTAACCATGTTGGCCAGGCTGGTCTCGAACTCCTGACCTCAGGTGATCCACCTGCCTTGGCCTCCCAAAGTGCTGGGGTTGCAGGTGTGAGCCACCAAGCAACACCCAGCCTAAGTAAGAATATTAAAATGAGGTCAGGTAAAGATAAGGCTACATTCTCACTAATCGGCCACCTCATTTAGTGTTTCTTTTAATATAGCCTCATTAATCAAAACCAGATATTGTTTTTTTAAAAAAGACTTCTCTCCACCCAGAACATTTTCAAACCTACAGAGAAGTTCAAAGAATACAACAAACACCTATATATCGTCAACTAGATTTAGCAATTGTTCTATACCGTTTTTCTCTCTCCATGTTGATTTCTGCTGAACACCGAAAGTTACAGACATCACGACACACTTGACCTCTAAATATTTTTGCATATATTGCCTAAAAATAAAACATTTTTGGCTAGGTGCCGGGGCTCACACCTGTAATCCCAGCACTTTGGGAGGCCAAGGCGGATGGATCACCTCAGGTCAGGAGTTCAAAACCAGCTGGGTCAACATGGTGAAACCCTGCCTCTACTAAAAATACAAAAAATCAGCCAGGCGAGGTGGCAGATGCCTGTAATCTCAGCTACTCGGGAAGCTGAGGCAGGAGAATCATTTGAACCTCAGAGGCAGAGGTTGCAGTGAGCCAAGATCGTGCCACTGAACTCCAGCCTGGGTGACAGAGTGAGACTCTGTCTCAAAAACATAAAAAATAAAAACACATTCTGCAGATACTATTATCACACCTGAGAAAACAGTTATTTGACATCGTTATCTAATGTGCAGTCTACATTCAAATGTTCTCAGTTGTCCCAAGTCTTTATAGCTGTTTGCTGGGGTTTTTTTTTCCTTTTTTTTTAGATAGGGTCTCACTCTGTCACCCAGGCTGGAATGCTGTGGTATGATCATCGCTCACTGCAGCCTTGACCTCCTAGGCTCAAGTGATCCTCCCACCTCACCCTCCTAAGTAGCTGGGACCACAGATGCACACTACCATGACCAGCTAATTTTCTGATTTTTTTTTTTTTATAGAGATGAGGACTCACTGTGCTGCCCAGGCTAGTTTCAAAATCCTGTGCTCAAGCCATCCTCCCATTTTGACCTCCCAAAATGCTTGGATAATGAGCATGAGCTACTGTGTCCAGCTTTTGCCTTTTTAAATATCCAGGATACAAGCATAAAGATTCAAGCATTTGATTTGGTCATTATATCTCACAAGTCTCTCTCTTTTTTTTTTTTTCATGACACTGACTTTTTGAGAAGCCCAAGTCAATCTTATAGAATGAATACATTCAGGATTTGTCTAGTAATTTTCTCATGATTAAATTCCAGTTAAACACTTTATGCAAGAAAACTAGGTAAAATTCTTAACTTACATCAGGAGGGGCATAATGTTACGGTGTTCTACCTTGAGTGATACTAAATTGAATCACTTGGTTATTGTGGTGACCATTGTAAAGGCAGGCACATCTTTCTCTGTATAACTGACATATCTTCTGTAGGATTATATTTAAATTTTTGTGAAGATCCTATTCCACAACCACTTTTCATCCAATAGTTTTAGCATCTATTGATGAACGTTACCTGAAAAATGTATTGACTGCTTTTTATGAGCACTTTTTAAAGACTTTGTAAAAGTACTTTCTCTTACTGTATTTTCACTTAACCTAAATTTGGCCCTTTTCAAAAATTCTAAAATCACAAGGCAGTTTTAGAATGGTAGCTGGTTGCTAATACAGTTTGGATGTTTATCCCCTAAAACCTCAACCCCACATATCTACAACCATCTGATCTTTGACAAACTGGACAAAAGCAATGGGGAAAGGATTTCCTGTTTAATAAATCGTGTTGGCAAAACTGGACCCCTTCCTTACACCTTATACAAAAATTAACTGCAGATGGATTAAAGATTTAGATATAAGAACTAACGCCATCAAAAATTGGACCCCTTCCTTACACCTTATACAAAAATTAACTGCAGATGGATTAAAGATTTAGATATAAGAACTAACGCCATCAAAACCCTAGAAGAAAACCTAGGCAACACCATTCAGGACATAGGCACAGGCAAGGACTTCATGACTAAAACACCAAAAGCAATGGCAGCAAAAGCCAAAATAGACAAATGGGATCTAATTAAACTTAAGAGCTTCTGCACAGCAAAAGAAACAATCATGAGAGTGAACCAGCAACCAACAGAATGGGAAAACATTTTTGCATACCCATCTGACAAAAGACTTATATCCAGAATCTACAAAGAACTAAAACAGATTTACTAGAAAAAAACAAACAAACCCAATCAAAAGTGGGCAAATGATATGAACAGACACTTTTCAGAAGAAGACATATATGTGGCCAAAAAAATATGAAAAAAAGCTCATCATCACTGGTCATTAGAGAAATGTAAATCAAAACTACATTGAGATACCATCTCACACCAGTTAGAATAGCGATCATTAAAAAATCTGGAGACAACAGATGCTGGAGAGGATGTGGAGAAATAGAAACACTTTTACACTGTTGGTGGGAGTGTAAATTAGTTCAACCATTATGGAAGACAGTGTGGCAATTCTTCAAGGATCTAGAAATAGAAATTCCATTTGACCCAGCAATCCATTACTGGGTATATATCCAAAGGATTATAAATCGTTCTATTATAAAGACACATGCACACGTATGTTCGTTGCAGCACTGTTTATGATAGCAAAGACCTGGAACCAACCCAAATGCCCGTCAATGATAGACTGGAGAAAGAAAATGTGGCACATATACACCATGGAATACTATGCAGCTGTAAAAAAACGATGAGTTTTTGTCCTTTGTAGGGACACAGATGAACCTGGAAACCATCATTCTCAGCAAACTGACACAAGAACAGAAAACCAAACACCGCATGTTTTCACTCACAGGTAGGTGATAAACAATGAGAACACCTGAGCACAGGGAAGAGAACAACACTCACTGGGCTAGGTGAGGTGGGGGAGGGTAAGGGAGGGGCAGTGAGAGGGTGGAGAAGATGGGGAGGGATACCACTGGGTGAAATGCCTGATGTAGGCAAGGCGGCGGAGGTGGGGGATGGAGACAGCAAACCACCATGGCATGTATATACCTATGCAACAATCCTGCAGGATGCAGGATGTGCACATGTACCCCAGAGCCCAAAGTACAATTAAAAAACAAACAAACAAATAAACAAACTCATGTTGAAATTTGATCCCAATGTTGGAGGTGGGGCCTGATGGCAGGTGTTTGGGTCATGAGGGAAGATCCCTCATGAATAGATTAATGCCATGCCTAGTGGTGAGGTGTACCAGGGAGGGGAAGCAAGGAGTTCTCAATCTATTAGTTTCCTCAAGAGCAGGTTATTAAAAAAAGAGCCTGGCACCTTCTCCCTCGATCTCTTCTTCCTCTCTTGCCATGTGACCTTTACACATGTGACTCCGTTTCACCTTTCACCATGAGTAGAAGCAGCCTGAGCAGAAGCAGATGCTTCTCATACAGCCTGCAGAAATGTAGAACTGTAAGTTACAGAAATCTCTTTCCCTTATAAATTATCCAGCCTCGAGTATCCATTTAAAGCAATACAACACAAATGAAAACAATTGCTCTAAAGTTAAAATTAACCCTCAAGGTCTTCTAAGATGCAATCCAAATTAACTTTCGGCATTCTCGACAGCAATTCAGAACAACAAACTAGCATACCCCATGGTCCTCAAACATACCTTTTCCAGAACTCACACCAGTCCCCTTATCCAGGCTTCCTGGGTGGTATCCTCTCTACTCATCTAACACCCTCACATATACTTGGAAGGCCCATTGGACTGTCACTTCTAGCCCTGTCCTCAGTAGAAAGTGATCTCACCCCCACCCCATGGACTATTTGGACTATTTTCTGTTCGTAGCTACTGCCTTACAGGATAGTTGTCTTTAAAGCAGTTATTATAATAGATACAAAATATATTTAAGATAAAATGTATAACTATGCAGCAAACACTAGTAGACTTACCATCCAGTTTAAGGAAGTTACCATTACCTTTGAAAGACCCCTTCCCAATCACCTCATTCCCCTCCCTCAAAGATAACCATCATCCAGAATTTAATTTATTTCTCATTCCCTTCTTTTCCTTTGTTGTCTTATTACATTTGTTTGGTTTCCTATACAAAATGATTTAGTTTTGCATCCTCTGGACCTTTACATAAATGGAATTATTCTGGATTGGATATATTTTCTGAAAACCTGCTTCATTCGTTTAACATTATGTTCCTGAGAGATGTTTTGTGTTATGTTACTACATTTGGCTGTAATTCAGTTGTTTTCAATACTATGTAGTAATCCCGTATGTGAATACACTTTTTTTAATACACCCTTCTTTTTATGGACATTATGGTTGTTCTGTGTTTTTTTGGCCATTATAAATAGGGTTTTATGGACATTCTTATAAGCATGTATGTAGGAATAGAATTGATAGCTTAGTGGATATACATGTATTCAACTTTACTAGATAATGCCAAGTTATTTTCCAAAGTGGTTGTATATCACTTTTTTTTATGAGTACCATATTTCTCCAACTGCCTTATAAACTATGTGAGGCAGAGAACAATGTTATAATTTTTTATGAAAAAGTAAAATGTAAGAATGTTTCTGAAATGAAAAGAAGAAAACCTTTCTGCAAACATAGTAAAAAATTAAGGGGAAAAATTAAAATAAAAGGTAAATATCTATTGATATTCCCTAGCAGATTTTAGATAATTCACAGAAAATTGCAAATCAGAAGCGGATACTTTCTCAGAAGAGCTCTAACATGTGTTTCGTTCATTTTTCTCTGGGTTTTTTTTCCACATAGCCAAGGTGCTTAGTATTTCAGATGTGTTAGGTCGGTTCTCAGGTTTCTTTGAGAGTAATTTCCGTAGAAGAGTTTTCTGTAATGACAGTGAGAGTCAATAGTAAGAAATAAAACACTGAAATAAATAAAATTCTGATGATTTTCAAGTGCTTACTTCTCGTTTATCAAACGTTTCTGAGATGATACCATTCCGTAGGTCTCTGAAAATCTGAAAAAAAAAAAAAAAAAAAAAAAAAAAAAAAAGATAGGTATATATTAGGAAATTATTTACGTGGGAGGAAAAACAAACCATTAAAGGCTGAGGATACCTGAAATGTAGGACATTTCCAGATTTTTTGGGAAAGTCTCTTTAGCCAAGAAGCAAGCAGGATTCCCTCTCCCACCCTACCCTATGCTCTAATACAAACACCGTACCCCCACTCTAATAACCATCCTTGCAGTACGACGTGAAGGGTTAAGTGCATCATCTTCACAATCTCCCTTCACGCATTGTGGAACCCTATGTGATAGGTAGGTTCTAACTGTTTTACAGAGAATAAAGTTATTGACTCCAGGAAAGTTCCCTTTCCTGAGTTTAAGAGTAGGATATCCAGCTGGGCACCATGGCTCACACTTGTAATCCCAGCCCTTTGGGAGGCTGAGGTGGGCAGATCACCTGAGGTCAGGAGTTCAAGACCAGCCCGACCAACATGATAAAACCCCATCTCTACTAAAAACAAAAAAATTAGCCAGGCATGGTGGCACATGCCTGTAATCCCAGTTACCTGGGAGGCTGAGAGAGGAGAATCACTTGAACTTGGGAGGCGGAAGTTGTAGTGAGCCAAGATTGTGCCATTGCACTCCAGCCTGGGCAAAAAAAAAAAAAAAAGTAGGAGGATATCCAGTTGCCTACTGTCTGTAGTGGGCTCCCCACTGCCTAAGCAACACATTTTTAGCTCAAATTAGCCTAACCTGTCTTTCGATTCTCAACAACCACTACTTCCTTGTAACTTACATACTCCAATACAACCTACACTTACACTGCCTCCTGTCTCCAAACACACTCTGTACATTCCCGCCTCCAGGCTGGAATCACCTTTTCTGTTTTGGACTATTAGAATCCAACAGATCCTTCAGAGCCCAGCTTAGTGTCTCCGTGAAACCTAAGTCCCTACAGCTGGAAAGATGTCCCTCCTGGCTGCTTCCACAGACTTCATACCTTCTCCTAAAATGCTCATGGCATTTTCTTATGTTATCTTCTCTTTTAGAAAATAAGCTCCTTGAGAAGAAGCCTTCTTTTTTAGAAAGAATGTCACTCTGTCACCCAGGCCACTGCAACTTCCATCTCCCAGGTTGAAGCCATTTTCATGCCTTAGCCTCCCGAGTAGCTGAGACGACAGGTACCTGCCACCACATCCAGCTAATTTTGTATTTTTAGTAAAGATGGGGTTTCACCATGTTGGCCAGGCTGGTCTCAAACGCCTGACTTCAAGTGATCCGCCCATCTTGGTCTCCCAAGGTGTTGGGATTACAGGAGTGAGTCACCGTGCCTGGCCAAAGCTTGTTAATTTCTGCAACCCTTATAGCACTTAGTACAGTGTCACAAAGCAGTTAATCAATAAAATTTTACTGACTGAATCAAGTCTTACAAGTCTTATGAGATGTACCACCTTCCAGAGAAGACCAAAGCTTTTGCTCTTTAACAAAGTTTTTGGTCTTTCTTTGCCAAACCTTGAAAGACAGAAAATTCATATTTCATTTGCAGTCAGATACTAATATGCTCAAGCCTATCCTCATGTGAGAGCAAGAACTGTCTGCAGCAGCACTTTGAAGGTGGTGGTCAATAATATTTCTTGTGTAATTTTTTCTTTGAGATTATTTTACCTTTGATGTTTCCAAAGCGGTGTCACATACATGAAGAAGTTCAGCAAAAATTAGCCCCAAAGCGTAGAGATCCACTTCCTTTCCATATTCTTGTGAAGAAATCTAAAGAGACCAAAATATATTTACCATTGTTACTCTCCTTACATAAATATTCAGCCTTCTAAAGCGCCAAAAAGTCGTTTGACCAAAACATCTTACATCACACAACAATGTCTATTTATTAGCAAGATCTGTGGAGTCTGACTGCCTAGGTTCAAATCTGTACCACTGAATAGCTGAATCCTCTATGTAAATTAACTATCGGCCAGGTGTGGTGGCTCGCACCTGTAATCCTGGCACTTTGGGAGGCAAATCACCAGGTCAGGAGTTTGAGACCAGCCTGGTCAACATAGTGAAACCCCATATCTACTAAAAATACAAAAAAATTAGCTGGGCATGGTGGCAAGTGCCTGTAATCCCAGCTACTTGGGAGGCTGAGGCAGGAGAATCGCTTGAACCCAGGAGCCAGAGGCTGCAGTTAGCCAAGCCTGGGCGTGCCACTACACTCAAGCTGGGGCGACAGAGCAGGACTCTGTCCTAAAAAACAAAAAAATAAAAAATAAAAATTAACTATCAAAATGGGAATAATCTCGGCTATAAAATGAGGATAACAGCAGTATCAACCACAGAGTTTGATTGTGAGAGTAAATGAGATGCAGCAGGTAAAGCAGTTAAAATAGTGCCCAGGAGGTAACTTGCTTTGTAACCTATTTATTTATTTATTTATTTCATAGCCTATTTATTCACAATATTCCATAACTAGAAACCACTCAAAGGACCACAACGGAAGAATGGATAAACACATTGTGGCATATTCATACAATGGACTACTACTCAGCAATAAAAAGGAATTCTCTGTTGGTATGAGCAACAAATAAAGTTTTTCCAGAAGGCATTATTTTGAATGAAGAAATTAAATACAAAAGAGTCTATACTGTATGATTCCATTCACATGAAGGTTAAAAATGGGAAGAACTAAGCTACAGTGATAGAGCTCCGAGTGCTGGTTGCTTCTGCTCAATAGGGTGGAGTCAATGACTGGAAAGGAGCCTGAAGGAACAAAATGTTCTATGTCTTTATAGGCTTACAGGTTACACAGGTGTATGCATTTGTCAAGACGAAAAAGTATACACTTAAGATCTGTGCATTTTATGGTGTATAAATTATTCCTCAACAAAATGTTGCTTTCTTTTTTTTTTGAGACAGAGTCTTGCTGTAGCCCAGCTGTAGTGCAGTGGTATGATATCGGCTCACAGCAGCCCCTGCCTCCTGGGTTAAAGCGATCCTCCTGCCTCAGCCTCCTGAGTAGCTGGGACTCCAAGAACGTGCCACCACACCTGGCTATTTTTTGTATATATATATATTTTTAACTGGAGACGGAGTTTCAACACGTTTGCCAGGCTGGTCTCAAACTCCTGACTGGAGGTGATCTGGTCAGGTGATCCACCTCAGCCTCCCAAAGTGTTGGGATTACAGGCGTGAGCCACCACACCCAGCCAACAAAAGTTTTTTAAATTGAAAACAAACAGACAAACCGCATAATAAAAAGTAAAGTACCATGATGAATGTTTTAACCAAATATTGTGAGGGCAGCAATACAGGATGCAGGAGATACTGACTGTGGTGGGGGGTTAAAGAGAACCATTGGCCTCCTATTGTGTTCTATATTTTCTATGCCAAGTGGCCCTCCAAAAGGAAAAAGGGGGTGCCTTCTCCATTCTAGACTCACTCATCAGATAGCTCAGTATATTGATTCTTGGATTACAAAATAGTAGCAGTATTTTGAAAGATGTATTATCAGCAAAATAATTGTTTTTTCTTTTTTTGAGACAGAGCTTTGCTCTTGTCAGCTCACTGTAACCTTCACCTCCTGGGTTCAAGAGTGGAATCTCATTTTAATAGCAAAGCACAATACATATTCTGGAGAAAGTTTCGAAAATATAAACAATATGGATGGGCATGGTGGCTCATTTCTATAATCCTAGCACTTTGGGAGGTTAAGACAGGTGGAGCCTGTCTTAACCCAGGAGTTCAAGAATAGCCTGGGCAACATGGTGAAACCCAGTTTCTACAAAAAATACAATAAAAATTTGCCAGGTTTTGGTGGCTTGCACCTGTAGTCCCGACTACTCAGGAGGATAACCTGAGCCAAGGAAGTCGAGGCTGCACAGTGGTGAGCTATGATTATGCCACTGCACTCCCACCTGGGTGACAAAGCAAGACCCTGTCTCAAAAAAATAAAAATAAATAAATAAAAACAAAAATATATATATATATATATACACACACACACACAATATCTTCATAAAGACAAGCTTTTAAAAAACTTCAAGCCCGCATAGCCAAGTCAATTCTAAGCAAAAAGAACAAAGCTGGAGGTATCACACTACCTGACTTCAAACTATACTATAAGTCTACAGTAATCAAAACAGCATGGTACTGATACCAAAACAGAGATATAGACCAATGGAACAGAACAGAAGCCTCGGAGGCAATGCCACACATCTACAACCATCTGATCTTTGACAAACCTCACAAAAACAAGCAATGGGGAATGATTCCCTGTTTAATAAATGGTGTTGGGAAAACTGGCTAGCCATGTGCAGAAAGCAGAAACTGGACCCCTTCCTGACACCTTACACTAAAATTAACTCCAGATGGATTAAAGCCTTAAACATGAGACCTAACACCATAAAAACCCTAGAAGAAAACCTAGGCAAAACCATTCAGGACATAGGCATAGGCAAGGACTTCATGACTAAAACACCAAAAGCATTGGCAACAAAAGCCAAAATAGACAAATGGGATCTAATTAAACTCCAGAACTTCTGCACAGCAAAAGAAACAATCATGAGAGTGAACCAGCAACCAACAGAATGGGAAAAAATTTTTGCAATCTACCCATCTGACAAAGGACTTATATCCAAAATCTACAAAGAACTAAAACAGATTTACAAGGAAAAAACAAACAAACCCATTCAATAGTGGGCAAAGGATATGAACAGATACTTTTCAAAAGAAGACATATATGAGGCCAACAAATGAAAAAATGCTCATCATCACTGGTCATTAGAGAAATGCAAATCAAAATCACATTGAGATATCATCTCACACCAGTTAGAATGGCGATCATTAAAATATCTGAAGACAATGGATGCTGGAGAGGATGTGGGGAAATAGGAACACTTTTACACTGTTGGTGGGAGTGTAAATTAGTTCAATCATTATGGAAGACAGTGTCGCGATTCCTCAAGGGCCTAGAAATAGAAATTCCATTTGACCTAGCAATACCATTACTGGGTATATATCCAAAGGATTATAAATCATTCTACTATAAGGACACATGCACATGTATGTTCATTGCAGCACTGTTTACAATAACAAAGACTTGGAACCAACCCAAATGCCCAACGATGATAGACTGGATAGGGAAGATGTGGCACATATACACCATGGAATACTATGCAGCCATAAAAAACGATGAGTTTGTATCCTTTGTAGGGACATGGATGAACCTGGAAACCATCATTCTCAGCAAACTGACACAAGAACGGAAAATCAAACACTGCATGTTCTCACTCATAGCGGGGTGTTGAACAATGAGAACACATGGACACAGGGAGGGGAGCATCACACACTGAGGTCTGTCGGGGGGACTAGAGGAGGGACAGTGGGGGCTAGGGAGTTGGGGAGAGATAACATGAGGAGAAATGCCAGGATGTAGCTGATGGGGATGGAGGCAGCAAACCACATTGCCATGTATGTACCTATGCAACAATCCTGCATGTTCTTCACATGTACCCCAGAACCTAAAATGCAATTTTATATATATTATTGAAGAATATAAAAGTGGCCTTGAGGTAGTTTGTATGACCCCCAATGCTTCACTGGCCTCCTGGCCTCCTCACTGTCTCGAACTGGGCCATGCATTTTGCTTTGGGCAATGATGTTTAGTGATGTATGCCACAGCTGAGAAGAGTATGTAAAAGCCATCACAAGGTTCTGCCATTGCTTTCTGCCTCGAGGACAGCAGTGACTCAGATAGCATTTTTCCTTCAGCCTGGGTCTTGGAATGAAGGAGACACATGGAGCTGCAGCTGGACTGCTGCCAACTTGTCATTCGAGCAAGAAATAGACCCTTGGTGTTTTTGCACCACTAGGAAACTGGGGTCATTTTGTTACCACAGCATAGCTTGGCAAAAGCTAACTGATGGAGGACTTGAATAAGTGAGGAGAAAATACCAGTTTTGGAGAAGTCTTAATTATATAAAGATATCAATGTTCCTCACCTGAATCCTCACATTTGATGCAATTGCTATCAAAACCTCAAAATCAGTTATGGAAGATGACAGGGTGATTCTAGAGTTCATTTGGAATTGTAAATGTGAACAGCTAAGAGCATTTTAAAATTGAAGAATAATGTGGCAGCCCCTGCTGCTCAAATACTAAAACCTAGTTTAAAATGCTACAATAATCTACATAGCATAATATTAAAGAGAAAAATATAAAATAAATCAATGAAACTGAACAAAGTCCAGAAACACATCTACGAATGTGTGGGAATTTTATATATGATAAAATAATATTTTATTGTGGTAAAATAGATACAAAATATTCCTTTTTAACCATTTTTATGCCTATAATTCAGTGGCATTAATTACCTTCACAATGTTGTATAACCATCACCGCTATCTATTTCCAGAACTTTTCATCACCCCAAACAGAAACTATACCCATTAAACAAGAAGCTCCTATTCCTCCCTTCCTGATAACCTCTGTTCCACTTTCTGTCTCTATGAATTTTCCTTAAAATAGCATTTAAATAACGAACTGCTCAAAACATGGTGATGAAGCAATTGCATATTCACATGGGGAAAATCAAGTTATATTCCTTTCTCATACATATACAAAAATTAATTCAAATTGGGGTTACTTTTTATCTTAGTAAAACCACAAAATATTTTCATAATCTTGTGGTAGAAGCTTCCAAAATAAAAATGAGAAACCTAGCAGCCATAAAGAAAATATTGATAAATATGACAATTTAAAGCTACAGTACCACAAATGTCATTATAAAAAAGTAACAATCAAGGAGAAAAATTCTGTAATATAGTTAACAGATACAGAATCAACACCCAATACATATCAAGATTCTTAACAAATACATGAGAAAAAGAGAACTTAATTTTGAGAAATTGGGAAAGGATATGAGTAGAGAATTTACAGAAAATGTATAAGTAAATATATGAAAAAAGGCATACCTTACTAAAAATCTGGAAAATACAAACTAATATAACAAGATATTCCTAATTCAACACATGGTCCAAAAGTGATCACTGATTATACCCTTGTTTGATTGAGAGTATGATGATGCAGCACTCTCATATTTTGAGGGGAGAGTATTATTAGAATCACTTTTTTTTGGAATGACAATTAAACAGCAATTAAGTTTGAAATGCACTTGTCAGCCTATTAAATCATTTCACCTCAAGAAATCAATCATAGATTATCATAGAATCATTTGTTCTTGGGCCCCAAAATAAGGAGGAAGGTCTATAGGTGTACAAAGTTGTAAACAACCTAAATAAATACCCTTCAATAAGAAAATAGTTAAATACAACCTGGGCAACATAGTGATACCTTGTCTCAACAAAAATAAAAATAAATAATAAAAATAATAATAATTAGCTGGGCATGGTGGTATGCACCTCTAGTCCTAGCCACTTAGGAGTCTGAGGTGGGAAGACTGCTTGAACCCAAGGTTTTGAGACTGCAGGGAGCAATGATCACACCACTGCACTCTAGCCTGGGTGACAAGAGAAAAACCTGTCTCTAAAACAAAATAAGTAGCCTGGACAACATAGTGAAACCCTGTCTCTACTAAAAATGCAAAAAATTAGCCAAGCATGGTGGTGGGTGCCTGTAATTCCAGCTACTTGGGAGGCTGAGGCAGGAGAATCCCTTGAACATGGGAAGCAGAGGTTGCAATGAACCGAGATCACTGCACTCCAGCTTGGGTGACAGAGTGAGATTCTGCTTCAAAAAAATAAAAAATAAATAAAACAAATAAGAACAGAAAAAAAATAAATAAATAAAAAATAAAAATAAAATAGTTAAATAATGGTAGCTCTACATTTTGAAATACAATATAGTTGTTAAAGAAAGAATGTGGCAGATCTTGTTGAACTGATATGGAGAGATAATGCTATATAGTCACAAAACAACAAAATAATCAACTCCTTGAAAAATGTATGCACATATATGTTTATGTAAAAAAAAAGTCTGGATGTATAGTTGTGTTTGCATGTTTTTATAACTCACAGAAAATTACCTAAAAGAGCAAACTGATGAGAAGAATACAGGTGGAGAAAAACATTAAGGGGAATGTTCAATTCTTATGCTATATAATTCTATACTGTTTTAATTGTATAAGAAGTGTCTACTCTTTTTATAATTTTAAAAATAAAAGAAGTAAAATATAGAGAGACAGGAAAGAAACCTTACCTGTTCTGGGCTCATGTATCGCAGAGTTCCTCTATTCCTTGTTCGCTTTTCATCATCTTTCAGGGATGTTACAAGTCCAAAGTCTCCAATCTTTATTTGTTTTGTATCTACTAAGAATATATTACTTGGCTATGAAAAAAAAATATTGAACTTACATGTACCAACTTGACATACTATCACCACATGTCTTAATCATACACAGCAATGGCTATTTTATATTACTTATAAGACCTTTACCCTTACACAGGGAGCCAAAATCAGGAAATTTAATATCACTAGTCTTTAAAATGCCAGCTGAAAGAAGTGAGGATTTCTTAGCTCACAGAAAAGGTGGCTTGGGGCACAGCTATCCCTCTGGAAAGCAGTCACATGCCAAGTGGATTCACTCTGCATGGTCCAAGGGAACAGATCCAGGACTACAGGGTGGAAATGACCAAAAGATTTGCTTTAAAATATCCTAATATTCTAACAGTGTTGTCCAAAGAATGGGAGTTAGACAGTTCTCCATCCCAAGATAGGGCTGAACAACCAGTTGAGGAAATGCTGCAAATATGAGTCCATGATCTGATAGGGACATCCTTAAGATCCCTTCCAACCTTGAGATTCTCTGAATGGGTCCTTCCCAATAATACTGCCGATTAGCCTGTGCAGAATTTCTCTTCGGGTTTGTTTTTTTTTTGCGATGGAGTTTCACTCTTGTTGTCCAGGCTGGAGTGCAATGGTGCGTTCTCATCTCACCCACCGCAACCTCCACCTCCCAGGTTCAAGCGATTCTCTTGCCTCAGCCTTCTGAGCAGCTGGGATTACAGGTATGCACCACCATGCCTGGCTAATTCTTCTGCATTTTTAGTAGAGACGGGGTTTCTCCATGTTGGTTAGGCTGGTCTCTAATTCCCGACCTCAGTTGATCCACCCACCTGGGCCTCCCAAAGTGCTGGGATTACAGGCGTGAGTCACTGTGCCCGGCCTCTTGGGGGTCTTTTTTATGTCAATTTCTCCAAGCCTCTGACAACTGCTTAAACATATCCCTTCCACCTTGAAAGGATATGAAGTTAATTGGAAGATGATAACTAGCTCTGAAATATTTTTTATTCATGCAATTCTTTAAGCAGATTTTTTTTTTTTTAAAAAAAAAGGAAGAACTTAGTAGAAGAGGTCATTCTGACTCCATAGCTTTATAGGAGGTGTTTTGTTTGTTTGTTTTACTTTGTGAGACGGAGTCTTGCTCTGTCACCCAGGCTGGAGTGCAGTGGTGCGATCTTGGCTCACCACAACCTCTGCTTCCTGGGTTCAAGCAATTCTCCTGCCTCAGCCTCCTAAGGAGCTAGGGGATTACGGGTGTGTGCCAAGAGGCCTGGCTAATTTTTTTGTATTTTTAATAGAGACAGGTTTTTGCCATGTTGGTCAGGCTGGTCTCAAACTCCTGACCTCAAATGATCCTCTTGCCTCGGGCTCCCAAAGTGCTGGGATTACAAGCATGAGCCACCATGCCCCGCCCATAGGAGGTATTGAATATTCTGTTTGTTTGTTTTTGAGATGGGGTATCATTTTGTTGTCCAGGATGGATTGCAGCGGCGTGATCATGGCTCACTGAAGCCTTGACCTTGGCTCAAGTGATCCTCCCACCAAAGCCTCCCAAGTAGCTGGGACCACAGGCCACCAAGCTGAAGCCATATGACCAACATTTTAAAGACCACAAAAACAGAAAGGTAGTTAATGAGAAAACTAATATTTCGCCATTTTTGAAAAGGCTGGACTTTTAGTACAATCTTAGGCTTTACACAAACAGACTGTATGGGATAACACACTTATGAGAGGGCCTACCTCGTAAAGAACCTGAGAGGAAAAAGACTACTAGCCCAGGAAAGGCTAAAGGAGGAGCTTCCGAGAAGCCAGCCTGAGATGATGGCCATGCAGAAATTAGCAGTTGGATTAGAATTCAATTAACAGTTAGAATGAAGCCTAACACCAATAATACAGATGGAAGGCTGAAGACAGACGTGGGGTGGATGTGGAGAGAAAATATTCCTATGCTATGCTCAAGTTGCAAGGTAGGAATATGTTGGGATTGCAAGTGAAACTGCTGGTCCCATATAAGGCTATCTCACCTGACTCTAAGAAACAGAAAATTAAATTTATGAAGCTGTGTAAATATCCAAGCTGGATGAGACTATGTAGTAAAAATATCAGAACACTTTTTATAGTTCATTGAAAAGAAAAAGTGGGCCAGGCATGGTGACTCACGCCCATAATCCCAGCTCTCTGGGAGGCTGAAGTGGTCAGACTGACTGAGCCCAGGAGTTCAAGACCAACCTTGCCAACATGGTGAAAACATTGCCAACATGGTCTCTACCAAAAATACAAAAACATAGCTGGGCATGGTGGCAGGTGCCTGTAGTCCCAGCTACTCAGGAGGCTGAGACAGGAGAATTGCTTGAACTCAGGAGACACAGGTTGCAGTGAGTTGAGATTGCTCCACTGCAGTCCAGCCTGGGCAACAGAGTGAGACTATGTCTCAGGAAAAAAAAAAAAAAGAAAGAAAGAAAAGAATAAGAGGCTGGACACGGTGGCTCATGCCTGTAATCCCAAACTTTGGGAGGTCAAGGTTGGCAGATCACTTGAGCTCAGGTGTTTGACTAGCCTGGGCAACCTCGTGAAGTCCTGTCTCTACAAAATATCAAAAATTAGCCTGGCTTGGTGGCCGGTGCCTATAGTCCCAGTTACTTTGGGGGCTGAGGTGGGAGGATCACTTGAGCCCAGGAGGTTGAGGCTGCAGTGAGCTGAGATTGTGCCACTGCACTCCAGCCTGGGCAACAGAGTGAGAACTTGTCTAAAAAAAAAATAAAAACAATAATGTCACATTTTGTCTAATCAGCTATAATATGACTAGATAAAATATAGGGTTGTAGAGCATAAAAAATGGGTGAAACTTCACATAGGAGGCACAGGAACAGGGCTGATGCTCAGGCCAAGGACGGCCAAAAGCTGGGGCTTTAGGAGACTGAACACTTTAGAGAAAGCAGCCTTGGACAAAAGCCCTCACTCCAGAAACCCCTGTGTCCCCTCCCAGCACCTTTGGTCTAGTTTCTAAGATTCCAACAGAAATTGGTAAACATTTGGAGACTTTTATAAGAGGGACTGTACTGGGTAAAGACCACTCTCTGGCAAAACCACCTACAGGTGCTATTTTGCAAAGCATAACCCCAAAACTGTACACCTTCATTGTATCTTTTCTTAGAGGAGAGAAATCAACAACTGTAGTAGTGAGAGCTAGAACAGTTATAGAAGATGAAGGAAGTCTCACTACCAAAGCTTGAGGCCAGGCGGAGTGGAGCATACCTGGAATGCCAGCACTTTGGGAGGCTGAGGTAGGAGGATCGTTTTGAGTCTAGTAGTTTGAGACCAGCCTCAGCAACATGGTAAGACACTGTCTCTACAAAAAATCAAAAAATTATCCAGGTGTGGTGGTACACACCTGTGGTCCTAGCATCGTGCCACTGCACTCTAGCCTGGGCAAAAGAACAAGACCTTGTCTCAAAAAAATTTTTTTAATTAAAAATAATAAAGTCTGACACTTGAGCAACTGTAGCCAGAGCAAAAATTCTCTGCAAATAGATGCAAGAAAAGACCAGTCTATGATACAGAGTACACAGTGCAGGGTACAATTGGTAAATAAGTGGATGGGCACCAGTCAGAATTTTGCTAATTCATTCTGAGGACGAGGAACTTGATGCCTTTACACTTCTGCATTTATTTGCAAATTATTGTATATAGAAATAAATGTGCTTATTTTGTTATTTACCTATATGTGTGATTTATCCCAAAGGGAAAGTATAACCACTCTACATTTATCATTTTGAAATAGTCCTGATGGTGTTCCAACTTCAAATAATACGTACAGATATTGTAGAAGAGACATTGGAACCAGGCAGACTCAAAACAATAATGCATCAGGCAGCCTGCCCCTGAGCAGACCACAGAAGCAATAAGGACTATTCATTTAAATCTGAGCCAAACAAACAACTGTATGTATGGGCACTTATTTCTCTCAAGGAATTTTTTGTTTCCTTCTTCATTCCTGGCTGTTTTAGAGGAGGGGGGTAAGCAGATAGCTACATAAATAAGGTGTTTCTGCCTAGGATAGCAAAAGGCAGTTCCACACTGACCAGAAAAGGCTCCGTAAGCAAATTACAACCAAAGGGGACAGGCAGAAGAATGTCCCATGAGGGAGAAGAACATTAGCAAAGGCCCAGGGACAGGATTTAGGATGGCCAGCTTGTGGCAGGTATAGGCAAGTCACAGGGAATAGGGAATGGAGAAAAGGCTGTGAAAGGCTGTTCTGTCTCTCACCTTCTGTCATTTTGATGAGAAGTAAAAAAAGGGAAACTGCTTGTCCGGACCATGAAAGCCAGAGGAAATCAAAAATACTAATGGATGATACACTTTCCCAATTTGGGATTACTGCAGTTTTCCAGTAATGGGATTGAAATGCCTAACCAAGACCCAGTAGCTGTGACAGCCCTCAAGAGTAATGACTGAGAGATTAAGGAACCATATTCCTAAAGCCACAGTCAACAGAGTCCCTTTTGCCTCTCAAATAAGCCTGAGTCTCTTAGAGGAGGCAGGAGGAGCAGGGACAGAGCAGCCAGTTGGCTGTGCCAGTCACAGAAATTATTTGCATGGAAATGTTCAGTATTTGACAGCTATTAGTGCTTTCATCTGGGTATGACTATCAGCCAGATAGAATGAGAAGTGAATGAGCCTTTTAATAGGGCTCATTGTCACAATAAGTTCACTAGGTAGCCCAGATCTTCTAGGTAGCTGTATGGAACGGCATCTGTGGCAAGTTCTAGACCCATTCTAACATTAGAGGATCAGAAATAACATTTTCTCGTAACTATCAATTAACCACCATTCTAAAACTAGAGAAGATACACACACACACACACACACACACACACTCACGTATATACATATACATATATATATATTTTTTTTTGAGGTGAGTCTCAAGGCTGAACTCAAGTTGAGTCTCAAGTCTCAACTCTTTTGCCCATGCTGAAGTGCAGTGGTGCAATCTCTACTCACTGCAACCTCCACCTCCCAGGTTCCAACAATTCTCCTGCCTCAGCCTCCCAAGTAGCTGGGATTACAGGCGCACGCCATCATATCCGGATAATTTTTGTATTTTTAGTAGAGACAGGATTTCACCATGTTGGCCAGGCTGATTTCGAACTCATGACCTCAGGTGATCCACCCGCCTCAGCCTTCCAAAGTGCTGAGATTACAGGTGTGAGCTATTGTGTCCAGTTGAGAAGATAAATTTTTAAATTACTAAATTATATATATCAACTAATAAAGTACTTCCACTTACCTTAAGATCTCTATGAATTAAATTTTTTGAATGTATATAATCTACCCCTGTTGTTATTTGTTCAAAGAATTCCAAAGACAAAACTTTGTCCTGTTCCTTGCCTCTTCTCTCGTCAATCCATTGGTCCAATGTCCCTTTACCACAGAACTCCATTTGGATGAAAAGGCACTTAGTCATTGATCTGGGTATAAAATTCACAGTATGTTAAAAGTAACAATAAATATAAATTTATAAAGAAAGTCTTATCTTTTTAAAAGCTTACACCTTATCTTCTTAAGAACTCCAAAACATGTCTCAAAATATAAATCTAAATATAATAAATTTGAATCAAAATATAATAAACCATTTTTTATTTCAATCACAAGCTCCCAGATGTCAAGAGCTTTATTTGTTTAGCTAATTTATAAAATATGAGCTGGGCTGGGCATGGTGCCTCATGTCTATAATCCTAGCACTTGGGAGGCAGAGACATGTGGATTGCTTGAGCTCAGGAGTTTGAGACCAGCTTGGGCAGCATGGTGAAACCCCGTCTCTCCTAAAAATACAAAAATTAGCTGGGTGTGGTGGCGCAGCACCTGTAGTCACAGCTACTCAGGAGGATGAGGCATGAGAATCATTTGAACCCAGAAGGTGGAGGTTGCAGTGAGCTGAGATTGAGCCACTGTGCTCCAGCATGAGTGACACAGTAAGACTCTGTCTCAAAAAAGAGAAGAAAAAAAAATGAGCCACCCATTCTTTATTGCTGAAGATCTGCAATCATCTTTGCTAACAGACAGAAAAGAGGAACATGAATACAATAGAGTTGCAGGAAACTAAATTTCATTATTATATAAAATAATTTTGAAACCTTTTAATTCATCATCCAACTACTGAGCATGAAAGGTACCTAGAGATGAGAAAATGAGTCAGACACTATCATTGCCATCATGGGGATAACAGTCTAATAGGAGAGAGTAAGGGAAAAGCAAACCTGAAACAATAGGAAAGGTACTCTAGGAGAAATGCCAGCAAATTACTACAAGATATAAATCAGATGATTCATTTACTTTTTTGCTAACCATGTTTTATTTTTTTCTGAATTAAGTTAGCCTCAATATTAATTTATATTCTTTGTATAAGTCAGCTTGAAAACAGGAAGAGGTAGCCAAGAATTTGCTGAAAGCTTAAGTCCTATATGCTGATGGTCAGTAACTCCTGAAACTGATGATAAAGTTCTCAGTTACATGTGGTGGAGATGGAGGTGGGGGCAGGAGAAAATAAATGAACAGGACCCCATTGGCCTCAGGATTTTAGTGAGAGGGCTATCCCCGAAATAGGTGTGTGACTTTCAAAGACAGATGCCAGCTCTTTAGGATCTCCAGTTGTTTGGCAGTGGCTTACCTGACATAAAACATGAGGGTGCCCCCATCTCAGCTTGTGGTCTTAAAATTATTTTCACTGCCCACCCCCCCAGCATAAGTGGTATAGTTACATTTCAAAGAAACCCTTGAACTGCACCATACCAATCGCAGCCTAAGAGAGGGACAGAAGAGTGTTGGTAGCTGAGGAGGGAGCCCCCAGATGCAGCATCTATATGTTAAAACTCTCTTCACAAGACTACATTTACAGCCTGTACTGAAGCCGGCATATACACAAGGCCCTCCATTACACAATGGTTTCAGTAAAGCTGAACCTGAGATTTTTGAAGACAGCTGAGGATATAACAAAGGGTTGTGAAAGCAAGTTTGCAGCAAGGAGAGGAGCAAGGAAGAGATTTTCATTTTCTCCTTACCTGCAGAATGGAGAGATAACAGTGTCTCTCAGAGGGAATTGTGATTATTAATCGTGGTAATTAATGGCCTTATCCAGTGGCCCACACAGAGTAAATAATGGTTTCCTTTCATCTTCTTATGACTATGAGAATTTCTTTTTAGTTACCTTAAATTATTTTTGCTGTTCTCAGGATCATAATCACTGCTGTCAGGATCATAATCACTGCTCTCAGGATCATAATCAAATCCATCCCAACAGCCATTGTAGTGAACAATATTTACATGATCAAGTTCTGCCAATGCTTTCACTTCACGCTCCACTTTCCTAGTTAAAAGGCACAAGGAACATGGAAGTGTCAGTGTACATCCCTAATAACAACCACAAAACAAAACTATCAACATTCCTTATTAAACCATTGTTGTTCTCACACAATTTTAGAATGGAAGCCAGGAGATTCAAAAGGAAAAAGTGAACATATTGAAAAAAAACCATAAGTGTTCTCACTCCCACTCTTATTTTATCTCAACATAAAACAAAAGGCAGCAACTTCAATAATGCCAAACATTAAACAATTTAAAAATCATTTGTAGCAGGCTTGAAATGCCAGTGATGGGGCTGAGTACGTTGGCTCACGCCTGTAATCCCAGCACTTTAGGAGGCCAAGGCAGGCGGATCATGAGGTCAAGAGTTCAAGACTAGCCTGGCGAACATGGTGAAACCCCATCTCTACTAAGAATACAAAAATTATCTGGGCGTGCATGGTGGTGCGTGCCTGTAATCTCAGCTACTCGGAAGGCTGAGGCAGAATTGTTTGAACCTGGGAGGCAGAGGTTGCAGTGAGCTGAGATCACACCACTGTACTCCAGCCTAGGTGACAGAGCAAGATTCCATCTTGGAAAAAAAAAAAAGAAAAGAAAAGAAATGCCAGTGACGCAGTTTTAATTCATTTATTTTATTGAGACAGGGTCTCACTTTGTCACCCAAGTTGGAGTGCAGTGGCATGATCTTGGCTCATTGCAGCCTTGACCTCCCAGGCTCAAGCAGTCTTCCCACCTCAGCCTCCTGAGTAGCTGGGACCACAGGAACACACCACCACATCCATCTACTTTTTCAATATTTTCTGTAGAGATGGAGTTTTGCCATGTTGCCCATACTGGTCTCAAACTCCTGGGCTCCAGCGACCCACCCGCCTCGGCCTCCCAAAGTGCTGGAACTGTAAGCATGAGCCACTGGACCCAGCTGATGCAATTTTTCATAGCTAAATCATACATTATGTTTTGCTTAGACTTTGTTAAAATCTTTAGATTTCACAAGAAAACCACATTTGGCGGCAAGGCTAGGTAACCCAGGCAGTATAAAGTACCTGATTCAGGATTTTCAATGTGTGGCAAAAATACACAAACGGACAATTTATGCAGAGAAGGTAAGATGGTGGGAGGCATTATAGGGATGTATTGCCATGACCTAAGACAATTCCATGCTAAATGCAGTAAATAATTTGGAGTAAATAATTTGCAGTAAATAATTTGGAGATCTCAAAGATGAGAAAGGATAGACAAACATTTTACAATTTCATTTTTTAATGCAAAAAGTTCTAAACTATATGACAAAATTTGCAAAAACAAAGAAAAAATTACTGATATGTTGACAATCCTATAACAATGTTATTATTTTAGCTTCCTTCTTACAATCTGTTATTTTTCCTTCCTTCCTTCCTTCCTTCCTCTCTTCCTCCTTCCCTCCCTCTCTTCCTTCTTTCCTTCCTTCTTTTTCTTCCTTTCCTTCCTTTTTTTTTTTTTTGAGACAGGGTCTCGCTCTGTCACCCAGGCTGGAGTGCAGTGGCAATCTTGGCTCACTGCAACCTCTGCCCCTAGGGCTCAAGTAACCCTTCCACCTTAGCCTCCCGAGTAGCTAGGACCACAGGCACCACCATACCCAGCTAGTTTTCGTAATTCTTGTAGAGACAGGGTTTTTGCCATGTTGCTCAGGTTGGTCTTGCACTCCTGATCTGTAATCTGACAGTCTCAGCCTCCCAAAGTGCTGGGATTACAGGCGTGAGCCATGTCTAGCCAGTCATTTTTAATGGCTGCAAAATAGCCATTGATCAGGGTACAGAACAAAACATGTTTACTCATTTCTTCCCTGCTGGATATTTTGTTTGTTCTAATTTTTCACTGTTAATGAACGACACTGTGATTTATATCTTCTTGGATATAAATCCATAATTTAAATAATATATTTTTTTTGAGATAGGGTCTCACTGTCACCCAGGCGGTAGTGCAGTGGTGTGATGATGGCTCACTGCAGCCTCCACCTACCAGGCTCAGGTGATCCTCCCACCTCAGCTTCTCAGGTAGCTGAGACTACAAGCATGGCTATCACACCCGTCTAACTTTTCTATTTTTTGTAGAGATAGAGTTTCACCATGTTGCCCCAGGCTGGTCTCAAACTCCGGAGCTCAAGCGATCCACCTACCTTGGCCTCCCAAAATAATATTCTTAAAACAGGTTCCCAAACAGGAAATCCTCGGGCCAAAGTATATAAAAAATTTTATGGCTCCAGATTAATATTTCCAAAGATATTTTAAAACATGTTATATCAACGTATAAACTACTAGAAATGACCAAGACACTGGACCATCACCAACATTATTATACTTTTTTTTTTTTTTGAGATGGAGTCTCTGTCACCCAGGCTGGAGTACAGTTGCACCATCTCGGCTCACTGCAACCTCTACCTCCCAGGTTCAAGTGATTCTCCTGCCTCAGCCTCCCAAGCAGCTGGGATTACAGGCACCTGCCACCACACCTGGCTAATTTCTGTATTTTTGTAGAGATGAGGTGGTTGGCCAGGCTGGTTTCAAACTCCTGACCTCAAGTAATCTGCTTGCCTTGGCCTCCCAAAGTGCTGGGATTACAAGTGTAAGCCACTGCACCCCGCCCTCATTTATTCATTTTATTTTTGACACTGGATCTCACTATGTGGCCTAGGCTGGTCTCAAACATCTGGCCTCAAGCAATCCCCCTGCCTCAGCCTCCCAAGTAGCTGGGATATTATTATCATTTGTTACAACTTCTATCTAATAGAAGGAATAACAGTACAGTAGTCCTTCATCCCTGTTAAATAAAACAATGAAGAGAGTAGGAATTACCCTATTTCAAATGCAAAGCATTGTGCATGAGAGAAGAAGTAGGTTTGTTAATCTGGGATGAAGAACACCCAGCACTCCACGCCTACCTTTCCTTTGCATAAACCAGATCCCTTTCCCATCTCCTTTTCTAGTCTTTGAGGGATCAGTTTGGCCAAGCTATACATAGTAACAACTGCCAGAGCACAATAAGCAAGATTGGTGAACTGGTGGCCATGTGATTTAAGACCGCCTTTCTATGGAGGTCTTCCTTCCTCTTCTGCTATCCAGCAGGAGCTAAGAAGGTAGATAACACACAAAACAAATGTTGGAAGCAGTGGGTTACAGCACGAACACATTGAATTGGCATTCCAGGGGATGAGTTCTAAATCCCCACCTTATTACATAGGAGATCATGTCCAAAGGTAATCTTGATCTGTTCTTTATCATCCCATACATGCTTCCACTCCTTAAATTGAGAAGTAGAGCCTATTTGCCCTCCCCTTGAATCTAAGCGGGCTTCAGTGACTTGTTTAACCAATTTAACTTGGTGGTAGTGACGTTCTGGAACTCCTCAGACTAGGTCAAAAGAAGTCTTGCCTCTCACTCCTGGTCTCTTGGATGACTTGTTTGGGGGACAATCCTTCTTGACACCCAGTCACTAAGTTGTAAGAAGCCCAGTCCCCATAAAGAGGCCATGTGGAGGTATTCTGATTCACAGTCCCAGCTGAACTTCCATCCCAGAGCCAGTGTCAACTGCTAGCCAGCTTGGATATCCAGCCTAGTCAAGGTTTCAGATGACTACTGACTGCAAATGCCTAGGAGACCCCAAGTGAGAATTATCCAGATGAGCACAATCAACCCACAGAACCATTAGAGATAACAATAAATTGCTGTTTTTAAGCCACAGCATTTTGGAGCAGTGCCTTATGCAATAACAGACAACCAGAGAACAAATACCATCTAGCTTTTACCTTAGACAAAAATCACTTCACATCTCTGGATCTTAGTCTCCTCATCTGTAAAATAAGGAGGTAAGACTAGAACATCTCAAAGATCACCTTTTTTGTGAGTAATGACAAGTTCTATTTGGTGCCACGGTTTGAAAAATATGGAGCGTTTTATGAATTTGCATGCCACATTAAACCAAATGACTCCATAGCATCAGTTCTGAAGGCAACATCAAAGGGATGACCAATGCTATATCCATTATTATTGAAATAACCATAGTAAAGTGAGATCATCTTAGAGTAAGCCAAACTCCTCTTGGTAGAATGAAATATTTAATGAGGACCAGAAAAAAAAAAGGATATTCTAATAAAGAAGAGAGAAGCATAAAAAGGCATATTGCAGATTGACCGTACCTATGCATTCAAAAAAATGTAAACATTTACTACTTACTCGCTATTATATTTAACACGTTTAACAACGTAAGTCTTTCTGTCAATTCTGTGTTTTACTTTGAAAACTTGGCCAAATGCACCTGAGCCAATTAATTCTATTTCTTTAAAATCCATGCTAAACCTTAAAGAAAAGAAAAAAACAACAGTTATTTTGACATTCGGTGCTCACCCCTTCCCCACTTCCCTGCTCCTTTCCCTTTAATGTCACTTGTGAAATAGACAGTATAACAAACATGATTCTCTCCCTCTGAATAAGAAAGATCCATTTGGCAGAAGCTCTTGATTCACAGAAGCTCACTCCTCCCAGGGCAAGTCCAACATAACAGATCACCCCTGGCAATCACAGTCAACTGCTGGCTTTTCAACAGCCATGATAAGGCCAGGCGCAGTGGCTCATGCCTATAATCCTAGCACTTTGGGAAGCCAAGGCAGGTGGATCCCCTGAGGTTAAGAGTTCAAGACCAACGTGGCCAACATGGTTGGCTTCCAAGATTTTACTTTATTTATTTATTTATTTATTTATTTATTGAGACAAGAGTCTTGCAACCCTGTCACCCAGGCTGGAGCTCAATGGTGCAGTATTGGCTCACTGCAACCTCTGCCTCCCAGGTTCAAGCAATTCTCCTGCCTCAGCCTCCCAAGTAGCTGGGATTACAGGCATGTGCCATCATGCCCAGCTAACTTTTGTATTTTTAGTAGAGATGAGGTTTCACCATGTTGACCAGGCTGGTCTAGAACTCCTGACCTCAGGCGATCTACCCGCCGTGGCCTCCCAAAGTACTGGGATTACAGGTGTGAGCCACTACACCTGGCCTGGATGCCAATATTTTAATCCCCACCCGTTGTCCCCACAATACTCCTATTCTCCCAATTAAAAAACCAGATGGCTCCTATAGACTGGTTCAGGATTTGCAACAAATCAACTTCGCTATTGCTCCTGTTTGTCCCGTTGTCCCAAACCCCTACACTCTCCTATCGCGAACTCCTCCCAACACTAGCTGTTTCTCTGCATTAGACCTCAAAGATGCCTTTCGCTATCCCTCTACATCCCTCCTCTCAAAACCTTTTTGCTTTCACTTGGACTGACGCTGATACAGGCTACTCCCAGCAACTCACCTGGACTGTCTTCCCCCGGGGTTTAGGGACAGGTCTCACTATTTCGGTCAGGCACTTCAACTGGACTTCTCCCAACTATCTCTACAACCTGGCGTTTTGCTTCAACATGTGGACGCTTTATTCATTTGCAGCCCCTCTCTAGAACATTGTATTCAACACACCACCAGGCTTTTAAATTTTTGGGCTGAATGTGGGAACTTGGGATCCAAAAGGAAGGCCCAACGAACCTCTCCAAACGTTTCACACCTAGGATTAATCATAACTCAAAATACTCAAGAAATTCCACTGACATGAAAGCAAGGCATTCAACAAATCCCCTTCCCAAACACAAAAAGGGACTGACTTTCTTTCTTTGGAATAGTGGGATATTTCCCATTACAGATGGCAAATTTTGCTAAACCTCTTTATGAACACACAAAAGGAAATCTTGACCAACCACTCATTCCCACCCCAGACCTTTATCAAGCTTTCTCTCACCTAAAACGTACCTTATTACAAGGCCCCCTTCAGGCCCTCCAAACCCACTAGGATCTTCACATTTACATTTACACAGTTCTCATAATCAGGCCCTTGGTCCATTAGCCCAACCTATGGGAGATTCCCTCCAACCAGTGGCATATTTTTCAAAACAACTTGACCCCATTTACAAAAGCTGGTCCCTTTGCTTAAAAAATTTGGCCACAGCCTCTTTAATTATCCCTGAGGCACAGACTCACATTCTATGAACCTCTTCAGGTATTTTCTTCTCACAGTCTATAAGATGTGCTCAGCCATAAGGCACTCACTTCCATCTCATTCCCTAGCATACAAATCCTATATTCAACCCTCCTTCAACCCTCTCTCTCTTCACAGATGCTCCCCCGCAATCCTGCTACTCTTTTATCTTCAACACTAACTTTGGACCACGACCAACCCTCATGCTGTGATCCAACTGACAGTCCTCTCACCATGTTTCACCACCTTACTTCTATTCACATAAAGGGAGCCCTAGATTAGTTTATAGTGCATCAAAAAACCCTTCCCTCCAAGCAGGATATGCCATCACTGAGGGATATCATGAGGATACCTACTCTCTTCCACCTAGAAGAAAGCCTGCCCCCTTGCCTTTGGGCACATCCTCCCAACAAGCAGAATTAGTTGCCCTAATTAGAGCATCAACTCTACCAAAAAACACACAAGTTAATATATACACTAATTCTAAATATGCCTATAATATCAACCATTCCACTGCCCAAACTTGGGGCAAGCGGGACTATCTCACAGCTAAGGGAACTCCTACCATTAATGAAAAACTAATCTGTCATCTACTAAAGGCAGCACTACTTCCAGAAAAATTGCAGCGTTCTATTGCAAAAGATACCAATCAGATAAAAGACACATTTCTTTAGGGAATTGTGGGCCTGGCTATTGGGCAAAACACGCCTCCAACCAATCATCCAATTCTCCAATATCTATTTCCCCTCACACAACATATCACCTCCTTTTATCCTGAACACCAAATACAACAACAGGGTGAAACCCTGTCTCTACTAAAAATAAAAATAAAAAAATTAGCTGGGCATGGTGGTGTGTGCCTGTAATCCCAGCTACTTGGGAGACTGAGGCAGGAGATTCGCTTGAACCTGGGAGGCGAAGGCTGCAGTGAGTCAAGATCATGCCACTGCACTCCAGCCTGGGCAACAGTGAGACTCCCTCTCAGGAAAAAAAAACCAAAAAACTAATCACAACAGGTGCGCAATTCAAACTCCCATATGAGTTCATACAAAACAAATCAGTCCTACCTGACCCTGAAGAAACAACTCTTTTATGGGACATCCACAGCCTCTTCCATGATAGCCATTCCCTTCTAAAACATTTCTTAAGTTCCCACACACGCATAATCCGAGATATAATGGAACAGTTGAAAGCCATTTCCCATCAATGCTCTATTTGCCAGAAAGCTTCACCCCACTCCAACACTAGACTCCCTTCTTTTCCAACTCATCCAGCCAGGGGACATCTTCCAGGACAAGACTGGCAAATTGATTTTACCCATATCCCCCAAGTAAAAAAGGTTTGATTTCTTTTGGTTCTGGTTGATACCTTTTCGGGATGGGTCAAGGCTTTTCCCACAACCAACAAATGAGCTTCTACTGTCACCTCCAAATGAATGACAGAAATCATCCCCAGGTTCGGGTGCCTCTTTCTTTTCAATCTGATAATGGTTCTGAATTCATTTCTCAAATTACTCAAACATTTGCACAAGCCCTCCGAATCACCTGGAAGCTACACATCCCCTATCGACCTCAATCTTCAGGAAAGGTTGAAAAAATGAATAGCATGCTAAAAAACACCTAGTCACATAAAGACTGGGTTACACTTTTACCTTTGGCCCTTCTAAAAATTCGGGGACTCCCACATAAACCTTTAATGCTCAGCCCCTTTGAACTCCTGTGTAGGAGACCTCGCTCCTTTGGTTCCATCTCAGGGTCAAGGCCCACCTCTAACAACCCCTCTCGTTTCCCCTCTTCTGCATGCCATCTGCCATTTCATTTGGGAATATGCTGACAAATACCTGCCACAACCTGTCACCGACCTCTCTAATCCCGTCCTACAGCCAGGAGACTGGGTTCTGGTAAAAGCTCCCAGCCGTCCCTCCAATTCTCCCCTCACACCGAAATGGAAGGGGCCTTACCAGATCATCCTTCCTACACCCACGGCAGCAAAGCTCCAGGGACTCCCCAGCTGGTTTCATTATACTTCTCTCAAGAAAACAGACTTCCCTTCACTGCACACTCAACCAACCAAATCTAACCCCCTTCAGCCTTCTCTTGTGTCTCCACAGAACCCACCTCCCTTCGTCTCACCTGAATGCCGGGGCAAAAGGAAGAGAAATTCACCTAAGCAGCTATGTCTCTTTGTCTCCCAGACTTTCATTGCTTCCTAACTGACCTTGTTACAGACCTTCAGGGGTACCCTTACGAAACTCCCATCATGCATCCTGATCAGTTCCTACTATTCCATGAGATTTATGGCTTCAAAAAACTTTCCAGGACTTTATTTCTACCCAAATAACTTTTTTCTCCTTTTGCTTGTTTCTTTCAATATAAATTCCCTAATGACATCAACCTCACCAATACAACCACTCCTCACTGCTCTCAAACTAGAATGTTCTGTAAACCTTACACAACCCCTCTTGCTGCAAGCTCTCTTGCTTTGCTCCAAAATGCTGGATGTGTTTATCGCTGTCTTCCTCAGCTTACACAGCCCTTCCTACACTCTGTCATGAACTTTTAACAGGAAGCATATCCCCAATCTATAAACTCCAAAAAGGAGCTTCCTTTTATGAAAGAGCTGACACTCTGGTCGGCGATTATCCCACTTCCATGGCCAACGAGGCCAACAAATTATTTCAAACGTATTACAATTCCCTACAATGCCTTAAGCCCCAAGGCCCTCCCATTGAAGGGCCCACCACTAAACACCCTCCTCTTTTACAACAAGCTTCACTTTGCTTTTCAGCCTCTGAGGGAAATTTCCCTGTAAGGTCCTTAACACCTGACTAATGTAACCGCACTATTATTGTTAAACACCCATCTGACCATCAAACTAACCAAGTTGACCAAGTTGAAGTGAATGGCCCATTTCTGCAACCTACTCCTTTTACAGCCTCTCCCTGAACCAATGCCTCCGCCCTGATTTGTGCTGTCCCTAGTGCCCACCTTTATCCATGGCTCAGTAACAATGGTGCAACATCCGATCACATTAAATGTGTAAAAAGTAACTCTGCCTATATCTCTACTATAGTGGGTGATTCTTTGGCCTCCTCCTCATCCACCTGGAGTAACGAACCACAGGAAAGAAGAAACATCCCGCCTTTAATTCACTTGTTTTCTTTCCATATCCTCACCTGTATTTATGACAAAGGCTTATTTTTTGCAGTTGGTACCAACGACATATCTTTGTCTCCCCACCAACTGGACCAGAACCTGTACCCTAGTTTATCTTTTTCCCTCCGTGGGACTAGTTTCTCCTAGCCAACCATTGCCCGTTCCATCCATCCAATACATTAGGAAGAGGAGGGCCATCCACGTCATTCCTTTCATGGCTGCCTTGGCTACAACCTCCAGACTTGGATTGGGAGCAGGCAGATTGGCCACCTCCTTAACATACCTTAACATATCGTTAAGCTCTTTCCACAGAGCTGCAGGGCTCTTTAGAAGATATAGCCTGAAGCCTTATAAGAGTCCAAGACAAACTAGACTCCTTGGCTGTAGTAGTCCTCCAAAATAGATGGGGACTAGATCTTACAACGTCTGAAAAAGAGGACCTCTGCCTCTCACTGGGTGAGGAATGTTGCTTCTATCTCTACCAAACCGGCCTAGTAAGAGACGATGCCGAAAAACTTAAAGAAAGGGCTAAACGGCTAAAGGGATAGCTGTAGGGTCCAGCCCCGCAGGGTCTCATGGGTGTTCTTTTGTGTGTGGAGATGACAGAATGCAGGAAAGAAAGACACAAGGACACAGAGGTAAGAGAAGAATTCAGGCAGACTTGGGGGACCACTGCTGCCAAGGCACAGAGTCCAGCAACGGCTCCGAATGCCTGGATGTGCTGGTATTTATTGTATACAAGGCAGGGGGACAGGGCCAGGAGGGTGACTCATTTGACATGATTGGTAGGGGTCAAGCAAATCACATATTTTCAATACGGGGGGCCACATGGGTACAGTACGGAGGGCCAGGTGGGTATAGCACAGGGGGTCATGTGGGTACAGTACAGGGGACCCCTCCCTCTCATGTAACCGCTGCAAGGAGGGGAGGCACATACGTCAGTATTTTTCTATGCACTTATCAGAGAGATCAAAGGCTTTTAGAATTCCTCTATTCTTACTTGCCACAACTTCTAAGAATTTACAAGGGCGCATTGGGTGGGAAAGTGGAACATGAAAGTGGACAAGGACGGTGACCATTGGAGCACAGTACCATGGAAAGGTGTTTAAGCCCCTGGATATCTGTGGGCCGGCCTAACTAATGTCAGACCTTCGTCAAGAGCCGGACAGAGCAGAGTGCTCTCCGAACTCCCCGGTAAAAGGGAAACTCCCCCTCACGGCCTGCCTCCCCAGGCACTGGCGTTACTGCAAGGCCTGCCTGCTAAGTAAGGGGCACCTTACCAGGCACTGGTGCTACTGCAAGGCATTTACTTTTGCCTCCTGATCACTTCTCAAAATGTCCCTTCAGTTCCAAATTATATTTCACCCGATTATTTCTATACAATAAGGCTAAAAATGTTCCTACACTATAATACTAAAGCAAAGGTTAATAATAGAGAATAATAATGTAATAAGATTGATTTATATAATTAGTCATGTGATTGTATCTAAGTCTATTTGGTGTCATTGCTATAACTAAGTAATCATTTATTATGCTGGGACAGATTGTGCCTTCAGTCTCTTGCCATGGCACCTGGGCAAATTTCTTCCCACAATTAGCAAAATATCCAAATAGATTCTTGGTTTGGGAACAAAATCATCACATGGGTCATCCCATTCCTGGGCCCTCTCCTAATGATATACCTAGGACTAATGTTCTTAACCTGCCTAATTAACCTGATTCAAAGATTTTTAACCAACAGGATCATGGCCATTTCACAGAAAACTATCCAAAAACATCTACAGAAGGCATTACTCCTACAGTTAATCTGAGACCAAAGAACTCTCCACCTCCCCTGCTCTGCAGGAAGTAGCCAGAAAAAACATGCTGCCCCTCATAATTTTATAACTATAGGATCTGGATTGACAGAACAGGAGCATTGCCATCTTGGACAAGCACCACCATTTTAAGTTCCCCTTGATTAAAAACTGCCTAAATCTAGCTCAAAAAACAGCCTAATGGCAAATGTCAGCATGACCATGAACCACCAACGACACCTCCAATCAGAAACATTCCAATTTTGAGATAAACCCCCTCTGGCTAGAGACATGCTAAGCCGAAATAACCTCCCCTCCAACCGGAAACATGCCAGCCCAAGATAACCTCCCCTGCAACCAGAGACGTTCTACCCCCACCATAAAACTCTCCTCCACCCAGAAACATTTCGAATCTGGATAAGCTCTCACTCCCTAACCCTTAAATATCCTTAGTTTGTAAGAGAGAATGCTCCTGACTGAAATTGGCCAGAAGCCCCTCTCAGGTTTATTCTCCAAAATAAACCTGTCTTTGTCTGTTGAGCCACTTTTCACGGTTCCTTCTTCTTTCTTCAGCTCTTAAAATCTTACCTCTTATCCATAGTATACTTTGTTCCTTTCATGTCAGGAGGGTCAAATCTAGCTGCCAAATATCTAAAAATTAAGAGTTGAATATAAAATTCAAATAAAACTGAAATCAAATATAACTTGTTTAGTGTTAATGTTAACCTTTTTCTTTTTCTTTTTCTTTTTTTCTTCTGAGGCAAGGTCTTACTCCATCTCTCAGCCTAGAGTGCAGTGGTATGATCATAGCTCACTACAACTTTGAAATCCTGGGTGCAAAGGAGACCCTCCCACCTCAGCCTCCCAGGTAGCTGGGACTACAGGCATGTGCCACCATACATAGCTCATTCTTTTAACTTTTTTGTAGAGAAGGGGTCTTTCTATATTACCCAGTCTGGTCCTAAACTCCTGAACCAAAGCCATCCTCCCACCTTGGCCTCCCAAAGTGCTGAGGAATACAGATGCAAGTCACTGTACCCAGCCAACTTTTTTTTTTTTTTTTTTTTTTTAATAAAACTATATACTTACAGTTTTCCTCTGGTCTCTAATACTGTTTCATCTCTCTCCTGGCTCCTTTTTCCACCTTAGAGCATTCATTGTTGATATGTCACTAACCTCTCCTTTTCCTCCTCCAGACTCAAAACCTCAGGAAGCAAATCTCCTTACACTCTCATCCTAGCTGTTATTCCTCACTGATGATAAGCCACCTGCAATTGGAAATTTAAGTACCACCTAAAACTAAACATATCCAAAATGCTGTTTTCTCTGTAAGCCCTCAACTCCTCAACTTCCTTAACACCATTAGTGCCATGGTTCTTGACTGCACCCTGTTCAAAGTGAAGCAGTCTCCAAATCCTTTCTCTTTTACCTCTTCTTCATGCTTTGACTCAGCTATGGGAATCTGTTTCCTCAGGTCATGTCCACTCTCTTCTCCATCCAAACATCTACATCAAGAATCATCATCTTTCTTCAACACATTTATCTACTGCTCAGAATATACTAGTGGTTCGTAAGGGCTCCTACTGCCTTCTTACCCTCATTTCTGACTATATTTACATATTTGCCTTTCTCTTCAGTTAGCTGACATAGCATTTGACCTTTTTTTAATCCAAGTTTTTATGTTATTTTAAACTTATTTGTCTGCAAAATAATACACTTCTTTTGAAAACACTTCTACAGTGAAAACAGCCTAATTCCTTGCCAGCCTCATATAAAATGACGCCCTTAACCTAATTACTCTAGCAATACCCCAATAGGGCTTTATGTCTATGGTATATAGTATGCACATACATTCAAAGATTTCTTGATGCATCTAAAATTATTTGTTTATAGATTTCAAGCTGTCTGCTTCTGAAACTCCACTCAAATAAGGGTATACATTATTCCACAAGTCTTAAAAACAATAAATAAGTCTGAAATAAAACTTCAGTTCAAAATATGTTCAATGCATGATACGCACCTTTTTACCTTCCTTTGATTATTTCTGAGACCATTCTATAACAAAAGAAAATGGGAAATAGTTTCAGATGACTAAATCAACCATCTTCCTTTCTCTTGTTATCCTTTCTCCTGTATTTCTAGATGGCTCTCTGACTAATTTCTTAGTCCATCCATGTCTATATTCTCATCAAGCTCTGTACAAACCCTTAGCATTGTAAGACTTAACTTTTTGCCAATCTAACGAGTTTAAAATAGTATCTACTTGTTTTGATTTACATTTTCCTGATTCCTAGTAAAGTATCTTTTAATATTTGTTGCCCATTGGCTATCTCTTCTCTGAACTATCTGTTTATATGCTTTGTATATTTTTCTACTGAGTTGCCTGCCTTTTTTTTTACTGATTTGTAGTTCTTCATAACAGAATACTCTCATAACACTAATCATCAAAAGCATGGATTTTGCTTTAACTCCAGCATTGCCTCCTTATGTGCACAAAAAAATTATCTGATTTTTTTTTTTTTTTTTTTTTTGAGATGGAGTCTCACTATATTGCCTAAGCTGGTCTTGAACTCCTGGGCTAAAGTGATCCTTTCACCTTGGCCTCACAAGTAGCTGCAGACCACAGGCATGTACCACTGCACCAGCCTAAAAAATTATCTGATTTCGAGTTTACTTTTAATGTTAAGTTTAATTCTAACTTTTAAAAACAGAAACAAAACTATATTAGTGAATCTTTAAATATTATCCCATTGGAGGGAGAAAAAAGCAAGATCATAGGAATATATTAAAATATAAGGGTGAGTGAGGAAAGACAGAAGGAACATGTGAAAGAATGAGGAATGGAACTTAATTTTAGTCAAAGGGCTGCTGAATATTATCATTTAGTAAGAGTATATAAGATAAAAATATAAAAATTATGGTGGAATACTGGAAGTTATTTTTAAATGAGGAAACACACAGAAAAATAAGATTAAGTAGGAAGCTTCAAGACTAATACCATACCATAGACAATGAAGAACAACTGTTTAAACTATTGTTACAATTTATCTCTGATGTATCTGTTGAGAAACTACTTTCAGATGATGGTTCAGAAGCCCTGGAAGAAAAGGATGTAACTATTAGTTTACTGTTTTTTATCACTGATTCTTTCTCTAAATTCTCCTTAAACATTAAATGTTTTTATAAAAATTTCTCTTTCAGACAGCAATAAGAATATGTTAAATGTCTTAAATGTTTGTCTACACTTACAATGTGCTGGTCACTAAAGAGTTGTTTTGGATGTCACGCACAGGAGTAAAATAACCAGAGGATATGGAGTCAGCTTTCTGAAAGAAAGACTGCCCATTAGTAGGCTTAAATGCAACTAATTATTTCTCTACAGAGGCTCAGTTTCTGTATACTACCACATTTATTTTGACACAGTTATCAAATTCACAACCATAAACAATTACAAGATTAATAACATTTTTTATGGATGTTTGGTCTGGATTTTATTTTATTTTTTTATTTTACTTTTCTGGATCACAGGGCAGATAATTTTTTGTTTGTTTGTTTGTTTGTTTGTTTTTGAGACAGGATTTGGCTCTGTCATTCAGGTTGAAGTACAGTGGCACCATCTTGGCTCACTGCAACCTCCACCTCCCAGGCTCAGGCAATCCTCCCATCTCAGGCTCCTGAGGATTGTAGTCTCAGCTGGAACTACAGGTGTATCCCACCACACCTGTCTTTTTTTTTTTTTTTTTTTCTTTTTTTTTTGTAGAGACATGGTTTTGCCATGTTGCCCAGCCCAGGCTGGTCTCAAATTCTTGAGCTCAGGAGATCCACCAGCCTTGGCCTTCCAAGGTGTTAAGATTACAGGCGTGAGCCACCATGCCCAGCCTGGTCCGGATTTTTAAAACAACCCTGAGTTACCAACAGAACTTTTATCCCTCTGAGGCCTCATGGCCCCATGGCACATAGTTCATTGATGCGATACAGAATGGAGGAATCATTTTGCTAAATCACTGGATGTCTTGGTATAATGTAAACACAGTCTAACTTCAAGTCAACTTCAGAGGGAATTTTAAAACACAAAAATTTAATCTAAAGGCAGTACGTACCACTGAGGTTTCTTCTGATTTATGTATCTGAAGATATGCAAGCTTAGCAGCCAATTGTTTTGCTTCCTGTTTAGTAGAACCTGTACCAATACCATATTCTTTCTGCCCCACTTTGCATTTGTAATGAAATCTAGGAGAAATCATGGAAGGCACTTATACAAACATGAAAAATATAGTAAATCCAACTTACAATTTAAAAAACCATAGTAACAGAGATCTTAAGATAATACTAATTTATTAGGTAGATTTATATTTCATATCTTGTATAATTTAAACCTTCAGTAACATGCCTGACCAATTTCTCTGAATAACCAGGATCAGCTGATATCTGAGCTTGCATTTTCCAGGCAATTTCTAATTTTTTGTGTTTTTTGCTTAAAGATCTGGCACAAAGGCACTAAGTAGTGGTTTTTTTCTTTAATTCTTCAAAGGTCAAAAGGTATGGAGGTAGAAATAAAAGAGATCCAGTAGAGGATCTTTTTTTCAGAGGTGCTCAAATGGGAAAGAAAAAGCCAGTAGAGACAGTGAGGCTTCCACAGGAGAAGCTATGAGGTTAACAGTGGTGTGGCTTTGTAGCATGGATTCTGCTCTAACTTCAACACTGTTTGCCATCTGCTTATGTGCACAAAAATTGAGAAAATCCCCACAGTGGGCCAGGCAGGGTGGCTCACGCCTGTAATCCCAGCACTTTGGGAGGCCAAGGTGGGTGAATCATGAGGTCAGTAGTTCAAGACCAGCCTGGCCAATATCATGAAACCCCATCTCCACTAAAAATACAAAAAATTGGCTAGGCATGGTGGTGTGCACCTGTATTCCCAGCTACTCAGGAGGCTGAGGCAGGAAAATCACTTGAACCTGGGAGGTGGAGGTTGCCGTGAGCCAAGATTGCACCTCTGCACCCCAGCCTGGGTGACAGAGCAAGACTTCATCTCAAAAAAAAAGGAAAAGAAAAGAAAAGAAAATCCCCAAAGTGCAGATGCCCGATACTAAAGTCCACACTCTCCTCCTATTAGATGCAATGACATTTGTGGCTAGGCAAGGATACTTGGACAATGATATAAGAACTATTTTTCAGGGATAAAACAATGGACATGGCAATTTACATCATAGAGTTACTATATATTACTGCAAAATTATTCCAGTATTTGAACTCTTTTTCCTTTGTGTTTCCACTGGAGGCCATCGAGAGAAACACATCCAAACAGGGTGAGTCTTCCCTGCTAGACCCTGAATTAAATAGCAAAAAAAAGGAAAAGAAAAGAAAAGAAAATCCCCAAAGTGCAGATGCCCGATACTAAAGTCCACACTCTCCTCCTATTAAATGCAATGACATTTGTGGCTAGGCAAGGATACTTGGACAATGATATAAGAACTATTTTTCAGGGATAAAACAATGGACATGGCAATTTGCATCATAGAGTTACTATATATTACTGCAAAATTATTCCAGTATTTGAACTCTTTTTCCTTTGTGTTTCCACTGGAGGCCATCAAGAGAAACACATCCAAACAGGGTGAGTCTTCGCTGCTAGACCCTGAATTAAATAGCTGGGTTGAGTGACTGGATCATTTCTATAGCTTCTATATTTTTCAGGTACCACACAAAACATATTTCTTCTATCTTTTAGATATCTAATGTTAGAGAACATAATTCAAAGGAATCAGAAAGGTGAGCTACAGAAAATAAAATAGTCTCTTAATTATTGAGATTGACCCACAGATTCACTTTTGACTCTTTTATTCCAATGAAAACTATCACATTTTTCTCCTCCTGGTTTTGGCTCAAAAGCCATGACAATAAATAGCTGAGTCAATACATAGAATAGTATCCTAAAACGATGATTTGAACTATTTGCCGTGGATTTTTTTTTCTTTTTTTCTCATTAACTGGTTGGTTGTAGTTGAAAAACAGTCACCTCATACTCATTTGATTTCTGCTTTTTTCAGTTCCAATTCATTCTTTATCCTCACTTCCACACATCTTAGCTCACTGGTGATGTTCTCAGTAACTTTGAAACTCTAGTTCATCTGTCTCATCAGATCCCTCAAATCCTAATCGTCTCACAGCCTAGGGCTAAAACTCATTCCTTCTGATACAAGGTCTTCATTCATTTAATCAAATTTGAAGGACAAATACCTGGACCAAGAGCTCCCTGATCTGACAAGGGTGAAGAGTCATTCTATACATGTGGCAGAGAGGTTTTCAGACAGTTACCACCATCATGACCTCAATGATGAAAAGATCTCTGCATTCCTTATTTATTTATTTATTTTGAGATGGAGTCTCATTCTGTTGCCAAGATAGAGTGCAGTCGTGTGATCTTGGCTCACTGCAACCTCCATCTCCTGGGTTCAAATGATTCTCCTGCCTCAGCCTCATAAGTAGCTGGGACTACAAGCATGTGCCATCATGCTCAGCTAATTTTTATAGTTTCAGTAGAGATGGGATTTCACCATGTTGGCCAGGATGGTCTCAATCTCTCGACCTCATGATCCACTCGCCTCAGCCTCCCAAAGTGCTGGGATTACAGGCATGAGCCACCTCGTCTGGCCAGATCTCTGCATTCTTTGAGCAGTGGCACCTTGTACTCTCTTGGGTGTTCCACAGACTAAACCATCCAGCTACATCTCTGAAATAAAGGATTACCCTAATTCGATAAATTATGGTACATGGATTCCATGGTTTCAGCAATTAAGCATTTTAACTACAAATAATAAATCCAATTGCTTATCAATCATATAAAACCTTCCATACAGAATGTTTAAAAGGACACGTATTTCTGGAAAATTAGACATGAAAATAAACCTACTTTATTGCTTAGATACAATGAAACAGAAAGAAAAGCCAAACTATGTCTCACCCTTCTGGCCCATTCACCCCCGATGCACATTGTTCATAATTTACAGTTAGTCTGTTCTTCTGGGCAAAACTATTGATAAGGCCTATGTAATTCCCAATGGATGATCTGTCCGAAGAATCGGTTGGTGTCAATGATAAAGGACTAACTGCCTACAAAAAAAATAAATAAATAAAAAATTCTTGTTTAATATAAATTACAACAAAGATTTAACATTCTACATTTTATTCTTCTAATAAAATTACTAAATGAGCAATTTGAAAGACAACCGTATGTTATATACTTTCCTATTATATTACCTTGAGTAAAAGTGTGACTATCTATCTCCCACTACCAGAAAAAAAAATCTACAAAGATACATTTTAACAATAGGAAAGAAGTCACTCATTTTTATTTTATAGTTTCATAAGGAAAAACAAAATAGTCAATGTTCTTGTTTGTTCTTGAAAAGTACTGTAACACTTTCTAACTTATTATATCCCATCTAATCTCAAAAAACAAGGCAAGAGATACTACAGTAAAGCTGTATTGGATCGCAAGTTAATGAAAAAGATGAATATAATCATATCATTTCTACTATTGTTATCTCTACCATTTTTTCCTTAGTCCAACAAAAATCTTGTCCAAAGTTTTGCTTTTTTTGAAGATAGAGTTTTGTTCTTGTTGCTGGTGCAATCTTGGCTCACTGCAACCTCCGCCTCCCAGGCCATATTCAAGCAATTCTCCTGCCTCTGCCTCCCAGGTAGCTGGGATTACAGGCATGTGCCACCACACCCGGTTAATTTTTATTGTTTTAGTAGAGATGGGGTTTCACCATTTGGTCAGGCTGGTCTTGAACTCCTGACCTCAAGTGATCCACCCGCCTCAGCCTCCCAAAGTGCTGGGATTACAGGCATGAGTCACCATGCCCAGCTGCTATATTTATTTATTTTTTTTTTTTTTTTGAGACAGGGTGTTACTTTGTCACCCAGGCTGGAGTGCAATGGTGCAACCTCAGCTCACTGCAGCCTCAACTGCCCAGGTTGAAACAATTTTCCTGTCTTAGTCCCACAAGTACTTGGAACTACACCCATGTGCCACCATGCCCAGGTAATTTTTTGGTATTTTTTGTAGAGATGGGGTTTGGCCATGTTACTCAGGTTGGTCTCGAACTCCTAAGCTCAAGCTATCTGCCTGCCTCAGCCTTCTAAAATGCTAGGATTATAGGTATGAGCCACCACACTCAGCTGAGTTTTGTTATTTTATTAATCTTGTCACAAAACTAGTTTTTGGTTTTATTGATTTTCTTTCTTTTGTTTCTTTTACAGTAATTTCAATCATTGTTATTTTGTTTCTTCTGCTTTTTGGTGGTAAGACATTCTACTTTTTTCCTAACTTCTTGACTCAGTTTTCTCGCTCATTAATAATTACAATTTGTAATTCTGCTTGATTAAAAAAAAAATTGGGGGGCAGGGCATGGTGGCTCATGCCTGTAATCCCTGCAATTTGGGAGGCTGAGGAGGGTGGATCAACTGAGGTCAAAAGTTCAAGACTAGGCTGGCCAACATGATGAAACCCGTCTCTACTAAAAATACAAAAAAATATCTAAGCATGGTAGTGGGTGTCTGTAATTTCAGCTACTCAGGAGGCTGAGGCAGGAGAATCGCTTGAACCCAGGAGGCAGAGGTTGCAGTGAGTCGAGATCACACCACTGCACTCCATTCTGGGTGACAACAGCAAAACTCTGTCTCAAAAAATAAAAATAAAAATTTGGTTAGAAGGATGATATCTTTAAGTAAGATTTTCAAGAATCTTGAAACCTAAATATTCCCCAAATTTTCAAAATCTGAGAATGGTCCTCTGTTGTCTACAATGTAAATGACTTAATGTCTCATTTTTACTATCTCCTGGTTTATAATATGGCTGTGCACAGCATAAACTTTAAAAATATTTACATTTTACATATTTTTCTTCTCCTTTCTAGATGCTTATAGAATTCTTTCTTCATCTCTGGAGCTCAGCACTTTCATAAGAATCAATGTTGGTCTGGGTGGTTCTAAATTTTCCTGTATGTATTAATTTGTTTTAATCTGCAGTCAAGTCTTTCTTTATTCATAAGCATTTTCTGCTGAAATCTCTTCAGGTCATTTTCTTCTGTACTATTTACTCTGTTCTCATCTTCAGGGATACCAGTCACATGTATATTGGTTCTTTACTATCTGCTCTTTGTAAACACTTGGCTCTCTATATCCACAGGTTCCAAATCCCTGGATCCAACCAATCATGGATCAAAAATATTTGGAAAAAAAATTGAAGGTTGCATCTGTACTGAATATATACAGATTTTTTTCTTGTCATTATTCCCTAAACAACACAGCATAACAACTACTTATAGCTGGGTGTGGTGGCTCACACCTGTAATCCTAGCACTTTGGGAGGCTGAGGGGGGCCGATCACTTGAGCCTAGGAGTTCAAGACCAGCCTGGGAAACATAGTGAGACCCCAGTTCTACAAAAAATAGGAAAAATTCTGGGTTATAGCACAATGCATTACTCACATGTTTGTGGGGACACTGCTGTATACAAATCTACTGTGCTACAGTCTTATAAAAAAGTCTAGCACAGGGCTGGGCTCAGTGGCTCACGCCTGTAATCCCAGTGCTTTGGGAGGCTGAGATGGGTGGATCACAAGGCCAGGAGTTTGAGGCCAGCCTGGCCAACATGGTTGAAACCCCGTCTCTACTAAAAAGACAAAGAATTAGCAGGGTATTGTGGCAGGTGCCTGTAATCCTAGCTACTTGACAGGCTAAGGCAGGATCCACTTGAACCTGGGAGGTGGACATTGCAGTGAACTGAGACCTCACCACTGCACTCCAGCCTAGGTAACAGAGTGAGACTCCATCTCAAAAAACAAACAACAAAAAAAAGTCTAGGACATACAATTACTTACAGTACATAATGCTGGATAATGATAAGCAACTATGTTACTGGCTTATGTATTTATACTATACTTTTTATCATTATTTTAGAATGTACTTCTTCTACTTAAAAAAAAAAAAAAAGTAATGGTAAAACAGCCTCGGCTGGGCGCAGTGGCTCACGCCTCTAATCCCAGCATTTCGGGAGGCCGAGGCAGGCAGATCACGAGGTCAAGAGATCGAGACCATTCTGGCCAACATGGTGAAAGCCCATCTCTACTAAAAATACAAAAATTAGCTGCGCGTGGTGGCACACGCCTGTAGTCCCAGCTACTCAGGAGGCTGAGGCAGGAGAATTGCTTGAACCCGGGAGGCAGAGGTTTCAGTGAGCCAAGATCGTGCCACTGCATTCCAGCCTGGCACTGCACTCCAGCCTGGCACCTGGCAACAGAGGGAGACTTTGTCTCAAAAAATAAAAATAAAAAAAATAAAACAGCCTCAGGCAGGTCCTTCGGTAGGTAATCCAAGAGAAGATATTGTTACAATAGGAGATGACAGCTTCATGTGCTATTGCTCCTGAAGACTTTCTAGAGGGACAAAATGTGGAGGTGGAAGATGGTGATGCTCATGATCCTGACACTGTGCAGGCCTAGGGCTGATATGTGTGTTTCTGTTGTAATTTTTTTTCTTTCTTTTTTTTTTGAGACAGAGTCTTGCTCTGTTGCCCAGGCTGGAGTGCAGTTGCAAGATCACAGCTCACTGCAGCCCCAGCCTCTCAGGCACATGATCCTCCTGCCTCAGCCTCCTAAGTAGCTGGGACTACAGACACATGCCACCAAGCCCGGCTAATGTTTTCTATTTTGAGTACAGACAGGGTTTCACCATGTTGCCCTGGATAACTAACTTGACCTCCCAAAGTGCAGGGATTACAGGCATGAACCACCATGCCCATGCCCAGCCGTGGTTTTTTTTTTTTTGAGACAGGGTCTCGCTCTGTCACCCAGGCTAGAGTGTGGTGGCATAATCATGGCTCCTTGACATCCCAGGCATAAACCACTGTGCCCAACCATGTTCTAAATTTTTACAACAAAGTTTAAAAGTAAAGAAAAAAGCTTAAAAATTTAAAAAGAGAAAAAAGCTTATAGAATAAAGATGTAAAGAAAGAAAATATGTTTGTCCAGCCATAGTATGTGTTTGTGTTTTAAGCTAAGTGTTATCAGGAAAGAGTCAAAATGTTAAAAATAAGAAGTTTATAAAGTAAAAAGTTATAGTACGCTAAGATTAATTTATTATTGAAGAAAAAATTGTAAATAAAATTAGTGTAGCTTATGTATACAGTGTTTATAAAGTCTATAGTTGTACATAATAATGTCCTAGGCCTTCACCTTCATTCACCACTCACTCACTGACTCACTCAGAGCAACTTCCAGTCCTGCAAGCTCCATTCATGCATGGTATGTGCCCTATATGGGTGTACTTTTGTTTGTCTTTTTTTTTTTTTGAGGCAGGGTCCCCAGGCTGGAGTGCAATGGTACGATCTCAGCTCACTACAACCTCCATCTCCAGGTTCAAGCAATTCTCCTGCCTTAGCCTCCCAAGTAGCTGGGATTACAGGTGTCCGCCACCACACCCAGCTAATTTTTTTGCATTTTTAGGGTTTCGCCATGTTGGCCACACTAATCTTGAACTCCTGACCTCAAGTGATCCACCTGCCTCAACTTCCCAAAGGGCTGGGATTACAGGCAAGAGCCACCATGCCAGGACTTTGGCTTGTCTTTTATACTGTATTTTTACTGTACTTTTTCTGTGTTTAGCTATGTTTAGATACATGAATACTAAACATTGTGTTATGATTGGCTATAGTATTCGGTACAGTAACATGCTGTACAGGTTTGTAGGCCAGGAGCAAGAGGCCATACTCCATAGCCGAGGTGTGTAGTGGCTATATCATCTAGGATTGTGTAAGTACCTCTGTGGTGTTTGTCTAATGAGGAAATTGCCTCAGGATGCATTTCTGACAGTGTATTCTCTTTGTGAAGCAATGCATAACTGCATATGGGAAGATATGAATAGGTTATATGCAAATACTATGCCATTTTATATAAGGGAATTGAGCATCAGTAGATTTTGGCATCCACAGGGAGTCCTGGCACCAATCCCCGTGGACAACGATGGATTGCTGTACATCATTTTCCCTACACTCACTTTCATCTCTTTTTTCTTTTTTCCTGTACTTCCTCAATTAGGTGGAGGGGACTCCTCCCAGTACCTGTCAGCTCATTTCCCACTGAACACTTCTTACCTTTCCATGTTTGTTCAACTTTAGAGTATTTAACTGCTGCTGACATTTTAAATAACTATTATCCAGCTTCGCCCACCGTGTCCTAGGTGTGGCTCTCACTCAGGGTTTCACAGAAACGAAGATGGGTGGAATGACTGAACCAATGTCTTGAATGTAAGGGAACGTGTGAATGGCTTTACTCTGTATGAAGGTATTTTCTCACAGAGAGAAACAGAAAAAGTATTTGCAAGTTCCCTTTTACTAGGAAAAAAGGGCAATCACTCACCTTGTTTTCATTATTAAGTATCTCAACAGCTACTTTGGCTGCGGCATTTTTTGCTTCTTTTTTTGATCTACCTTCAGCTTTTGGAAATTCTCTCCCATCTATGGTAACTTGAAATGTAAACCTGATTACAAAGAGAATATTTACAAAATATTATACAACTCATGCACTATCTAAAAACAAGTGCTCTAGTCATTACTACCTCCTATGATGACCTTTGAGGGTTTGAACCTACATTCAATATAGAATGTAAGCAGTCACCTCTAGCAGCAAAACAGCACATCTTGTTGACACATGGAAAAGTTTCTACCCTCTTTTCTTTCTGGAGTCATCTGTGGCTCCAAAGTAGTTGCCACTTTATGCCAAGAAGATTCTCACAAAACTAAAGTGTTGCCATTTCCCCAGTTTACATTTATAAGGCCATATCTTTTTTTTTTTTTTTTTTTTTTTTTTGAGACAGAGTTTCGCTCTTGTTACCCAGGCTGGAGTGCAATGGCGCGATCTCGGCTCACCGCAACCTCCGCCTCCTGGGCTCAGGCAATTCTCCTGCCTCAGCCTCCTGAGTAGCTGGGATTACAGGCACGTGCCACCATGCCCAGCTAATTTTTTTTGTATTTTTAGTAGAGACGGGGTTTCACCATGTTGACCAGGATGGTCTCGATCTCTCGACCTTGTGATCCACCCGCCTCGGCCTCCCAAAGTGCTGGGATTACAGGCTTGAGCCACCGCGCCCGGCTCATTTTTTTTTTTTTTTTGAGGCGGAGTCTCGCACTGTCACCCAGACTGTAGTGCAGTAGCTCGATCTCGGCTCACTGCAATCTCCGCCTTCTGGGTTCAAGCGATTCTCCTGCCTCAGCCTCCTGAGTAGCTGGGACTATAGGCACGTGTCGCCACGCCCAGCTAATTTTTTTATACTTTTAGTACAGATGGGGTTTCACCATGTTGGTCCAGATAGTCTTGATCTCCTGACCTCGTAATCCACCCACCTGGTCCTCCCAATGTGCTGGGATTACAGGTGTGAGCCACCACACCCAGCAGGCCACATCATTTTTTATAGCAACTTACCTCCTATCATGTGGAGGTCCTGAATTAAGCAGTTCTTCATATCTAAGTACTACTCCCTGCTTCTGACGGTATTTATTAAGTTCCTCCATGAAGAAACCTGGTTTAAGACTACCAGCCATTTCTTCCTCTACTGTCCTACAATAAAAGAGACATCTGAATGAGTGATGGTTACAGAACATATTTAATCTGAGTTTCCCAGTGCAGTTTAGGAGACAGAGGGGTTGGCAAGCCTCTCCTTTACAGGACTCGTCTCAATCTCACATAAGTGCACAGACTTTCTTTCAAAACCATTCTTTCTTTCTCATTGACTGCACAATCAAGTTCATTTCTCCAAAATTTTCTACTTTAAAAACTCAACTTGGGCAGGTGTGGTGGCTCACGCTTGTATCCCAGCCCTTTGGGAGGCTGAGGCAGGCAGATCACCTGAGCTCAGGAGTATGAGACCAGCCTGGGCAACAGGGCAAAACCCCATCTCAATTTCAAAATTGTTTTAAAAAATAAAGGAAAGAAAAAAACTCAACTGGTCAGTGAAAGAAGGGACCCCTTCTCTTTAACTCTGCTCTATGCTTCCACTGAGCATCAACTACATGTTTGTCTACCTGCTTAAGAAAGTAAAAAGGCTGCAGGAATGTAGAATGTTTTATGTTGGGAAGAAAAAAGTTTAGAGTATACATAATAAGTGAAGTGGAGTGGCAGCGTGGGGACAGGCTGGGAAGCGGGCAGGCGAGTGTGGCCTGTGTGGATGCCAATCCTGCCCAAAGCCAGGTGGAGAGGAGCCCAAGCTAAGGGTGATCAGCCCATGACCTAGACCTGTAGATAAAATAAAACAGGGAAAATTTGCTAGAATTAAGGAAGATGAATCCATGTTCAGCTAGAGTCCAACTTCGTACTACAAATGAGTCCCATAAAACCTATTAATACTTGTCACACAGGTTTTAAGACTTTGCAAGAATTGTTATCAAATGATATGCTTTTACTTCAACTTAGAACTGAAATGACTCTTTCTGAGAACAATACAATTTGCTTTCATCACATAAAAATTTAAGAATAAATAAAATACAAAAAAAGAAAAAAATTTACATTGACAGATTTGAGGATTTACAGAAGTTGAGTTGTGACCCATTTAACATACACAGAAAACTAGCCAAAAAAATTTTTTTACATGTAATTGACTTAGTGTAAAATTTGGAAGACAGCTTGTACCTCGTTGGAAGGTATGTCCAAAATCAACAGAAGTGTGGATGTTGATTCTGAAGACTGCCGGAGAAGGAAACCTGAATCAGATGGAAGGACTGCTAAAGCTTTGAGGTCGTTACAACTTACAAATCCAGGAAGGCAAACTGAATTTGCTCCAGAAACTGGTAAAAGAGAAAAAAGAAGGCTTACAAAAAATGCAACTACTGGTTCAGACAGACAAGTGATACCAGTAAAGAGTAAGGTCTGTGGTAGCCAGGGTCTCCTGACTTAGAGTGGGATGGACTTCTATAACTGCCTCGATGAAGATTGCTTAGGATGCTTCTATGCTTGTCCTGCCTGTGGTTCTACCAAGTGTGGAGCTGAATGCCACTGTGACCGCAAGTGGCTATATGAGCAAATTGAAATTTAAGGAGGAGAAATAATTAATAATAAACATGCTGTATAATCTGTGGTATCAAACTATGAGGCCTGGGCCGGGCGCGGTGGCTCAAGCTTGTAATCCCAGCACTTTGGGAGGCCGAGGCGGGTGGATCACAAGGTCAAGAGATCGAGACCATCCTGGTCAACATGGTGAAACGCCGTCTCTACTAAAAAATACAAAAAATTAGCTGGGCATGGTGGCGTGTGCCTGTGATCCCAGCTACTCAGGAGGCTGAGGCAGGAGAATTGCCTGAACCCAGGAGGCGGAGGTTGCGGTGAGCCGAGATCGCGCCATTGCACTCCAGCCTGAGCAACAAGAGCGAAACTCTGTCTCAAAACAAACAAACAAACAAACAAAAACTATGAGGCCTTTAAAGGTCTTTATTTCCAAAATTCTGTTACTCTAAGATACATTATAAGCTTGACTGTTAGATGACAAAGATTTTTAAACCACTTCAATGTGCACTAATTTTTCACAATAATTCTGTTTAACTTTGTGGGGAACCACCAAATTGTTTCCCACAGTGGCTACATCCGTGCTACATTTCCACCAGCAATGCACAAGGGTTCTAATTTCTCCACATCCTCACCATCACTTGTTATTATCTGTTTTCTTTTTTAATATAGCCACATCATGATCTTTTTAAAACATCAATTAAATCATCCACAAGCCACTGAAATTGTTTCTGTCAAGATTACCAATGGCTTCCCCATCACTAAATCCAGTAGTGAGTTCTCAGTCCTTCTTTACTTTACCTACAATGGGCATTTGATTTGGTTGCTCATCCTTTTCTCCCTCCCCTCGTTTCTTAGCTTGGACTTTTAAGATACCTACTCTCCTTGGTTTTTTTTTGAGACAGAGTTTCACTCTTGTTGCCCAGGCTGGAGTGCAATGGCGCCATCTCAGCTCACTGCAACCTCCACCTCCTGGGTTCAAGCAATTCTCCTGGTTCAGCATTTTGAGTAGCTGGGATTACAGGCACCTGCCACCACACCCAGCTAATTTTTTATATTTTTAGTAGAGATGGGGTTTCCTCATGTTGGCCAGGCTGGTCTCGAACTCCTGACCTCAGGTGATCCACCTGTCTTGGCCTCCCAAAGTGCTGGAATTACAACCATGGGCCACCACACCTAGCCCTGGTTTTCTTCTGTTCTTACAAGCTGCTCCTTTTCTGTGTCCTCTCCTGGTTCTTCATCATCCTTTCTTCTATTTTTTTTTTCAACCTTTCCTACAGTGCTAAGTTCCTCTTTTCTAGATATTGTAGCATCAGGCCTTAGACTTGTTCTTTTCTACTTAGACTCACTCCCCTGGTGATCATCTCCAGGTTTGTGGCTTTAAATTCCACTGACACAATGATGGTTCTCAAACGTATGCCTCCACCATGGACTCTCTCCTGAACTCCCAGCTGCCTCTGTCCAACCTGCTCCCTCCTAAAATGCTCTTGACTCTCCTCCTTCTGCTGTCTTGGCCCAGTCAATTTCTACTTCCTACAGATTTCAGCTCAAAATCCCAGACACTCCTTCACAGGCTCTTTCATAATGCTCATCCTCTCTATTAAGATTGCTTATTTAACTATTTTCCAAAATAGAGCATGAATTACTAGAAGTAAAGGACCAGGCTCCACAACGAATGAATGAGTATCAAAATCTCTCCAGATACCCTCTCCAGAATGTGTCACCTGTTTTTCTCTACATTTATACTGTAATATCTGCATTCTCTTTGGACCCAGCAATCTCTACTCATCTATCAGGATCAACACTATCATCCTTCGACGCTGGAGGCTCAGCTAGCAGCCCTCCATGGGCCTGCCATTCCACCTTGCCCAACCCTCATCACAGCCCTGACTGTTTTTAAAGTAATTAGTGAGTTCTTTGGGGAGCAGATTCTACATCTTATTCACTCATCTGGAAGAAATCTCTATCATAATCACCAAAAAATATTTGTCCATCTTACCAATGCCCAGAAACTACTTCGGCTATGCCTTCATTCCCTTCTAGCAGACTACAGTCTCCATCTAGGGCCAGCGCATTGCTTCACATAGATCATGCCTTCAACTAGTATCTGAATAATAAATGAATAAATGGCTGGGCACGGTGGCTCATGCCTGTAATCCTAGCACTTTGGGAGGCCAAGGCAGGCAGATCACCAGAGATCCAGAGTTTGAGACCAGCCTGGCCAACATGGTGAAACCCCATCTCTACTAAAAATACAAAAATTAGCCAGGCATGGTAGTGCATGCCTGTAATCCCAGCTACTTGGGTGGCTGAGGCAGGAGAATCACTTGAACCTGGGTGATGGAGGTTGCAGTGAACCGAGATCACACCACTGCACTCCAGCCTAGGTAACAGAGTGAGACTCTGTCTTAGATAAATAAATAGTCAAGTATTTGGGATCTCCAGGTTCAAAAAAGCAAACTGAAAAACAACAGCATAATCTGCCAAACATTCTAAATTCCTAAGTGACAGCAGAGAGCCTGTCTTTTAGCTTCCATCTGGCAAAGCATTTTTAGTACTAAGGAAAACATGGGGCCAGGGGCAGTGGCTCATGCCTGTAATCCCAGCATTTTGGGAGGCTGAGGCAGGTAGATTACCTGATGTCAGGAGTTTGAGACCAGCCTAGCCCAAGTGGTGAAACTCTGTTCTCTACTAAAAATGTAAAAATTAGCCGGGCGTGGTGGCTCAAGCCTGTAATCCCAGCACTTTGGGAGGCCGAGGCGGGTGGATCACGAGGTCAAGAGATCGAGACCATCCTGGTCAACACGGTGAAACCCCGTCTCTACTAAAAATACAAAAAATCAGCTGGGCATGGTGGCGCGTGCCTGTAATCCCAGCTACTCAGGAGGCTGAGGCAGGAGAATTGCCTGAACCCAGGAAGCAGAGGTTGCGGTGAGCCGAGATCGCGCCATTGCACTCCAGCCTGGGTAACAAGAGCGAAACTCCGTCTCAAAAAAAACAAATAAATAAAAAATAAATAAATAAATAAAAATATAAAAATTAGCTTGGCATGGTAGTGTGTGCCTGTAGTCCCAGCTACTCAGGAGGCTGAGGCAGGAGAATTTCTTGAACCCAGGAGGCAGAGGTTGCAGTGAGCCAAGATCACGCTATTGTACTCGAGCCTGGGTGACAGAGTGAGACTCCATCTTGAAAAGAGAGGAGGGGCAGAGGGAAGGGGAGAGGATGGGAGGCCAGGGAAGGGAAGGGAAGATGAGGGGAGGAAAGATGAGGGGAGGGGAGGGAAGGAGGAGGTGGGGGAGCAGAGGAAAGAAAGGGAAGGAAGGGAAGGGAAAGGGAAAGGGAGAAAGAGAGAGAGAGGAAGAGAGGTAAGGAGGAAAGAAAGAAAATAAAGAGAAAGAGATAAGGAAGAAAAGAGGAAGGGAGGGAAGGTAGGAAAGAATGAAACATGGGCAATAGGAAGCCTCATTATTTTGGAATTTAAAAGGGAGTTTATGAATTACCATTCATTTAACAAATATTTAATGAGCACCTATTATGTACTAGGTGCTGGGCTATACCAGTGAACCCTGCTATAGGTAATTGTGAAATTATCAGTGGAGGAACAACCCATAAGAAAATGTCAGCGGGTGATCAGTACTATGTTGAAAACCGAAGTAGTGGAACGGGGAGCAGTGAGGGCAGAGTGGGGTTTCTTGTATATGCAGGCTGTTTGGGGAAGGCTGCTCTGATAAGCTGGCATGGAAAACAGTCCAGGATAAGGGAATGGTTTCCTCATGCAGGTACCTGGGGGAAAAGCTTTCCAGGAAGAAGAAACAGGCAGTGCAAAGGCCTAGAGGCGGGGGGTTGGGAGGGGATGCTTGGCTTTGCACCAGGAGCAGCAAGGAAGCCAGCGTGGCTGGAGTAAGGGTACAAGAGGCCTTGTCTGTGAATCTTAATAAACATTTATAGGATTCTGATGAGACAGGAAAGCTATGGAGAAGATCTGAGCAGGGGAGCGTCTAGTTCTTAAAGGAACACTCCAGTTGCTGAGTGAGGTGTGGAGAAGAGGGAGTGGGTGGAGGCTGGGGGTGAGGAGACGAGCGGGAACAGAAACTGAGGCCAGGCAGTTGGGAAACTACTGCTACTCTCCATGCAAGAGATTTTTAGCCGGAGATTGTTTAGCCAGTCTATGAGTATTTCAGGCCTCCGTAATTTCCATGTGTCAAGCCACTAGGCCTATTGGTCTTCCACTAGACCCCGCCCCACAACTGCTGCCTGGGAAATGTATGTTACCTGCAATGATACAAATTTTTTGCGGAACGGAAATGGCTTTGAGTCCCCACCCAGCTCTACGATCCTTTTCCTGGATTCGGGGAGGGCCTGCACCCGGGCTGCGGGCCTGGGACTGCGCTCCCACTGCTGACACAGCCCGGGCCAGGGGCTGCGGATCAGCGTCGGCGTCTGGAGCTGGGGACGCGGGATCGGCGGGTCCCGCCCCGGCTGGGCCCGCAGCCCCCAGGCCGCCGCGCCCCCATCCCCATCCCCCGGCCCCTGCGTTCCCTCGGCTGTCCACGGCCCCGCTCACCTGCGCCGCTGCCACCGCCGCCGCTGCCGGCCGGAGACCCGCGGCTTCTGGAGAGCTAGCTCTCGGTTTCGTTTTCCCCTCGGACTCCGCCTTCCCTGAAGCCGCCCGGCCCCCTCTCGCACAAGCAGTCTTCTGCTCCGGGATTGGGGTAAACCCGCGCTGGATCCCGAGTGCGCGCAGGAGGCACTGGCGGGCGGGCTTAGCGCCCACGTGCAGCCTCCGAGCGGCCGGAACCCGGCATCCCCAACCCCCGCCCCCGGGGCTCCTGGGGCAAGTGGCGCTAGCTGCCCTGGGTTCTGGAATCAAGGGTTCCACTTACTCTTCAGTACAAACATCTGGGGTAGGGTTGGGAAGATGGGTATTACCAGCTCCGTTTTACAATAGAGGAAACTGAGTAAATGAACTCGCCCAGGGTCCTGCCGCTCGTAAGTCGGTTCGAGTCTGGGCCTGTAAACACCAAAGCACTCCTTCCCGCTTGCCACACCACGGTCCCTTCCTCTTTACGCGGCTGGGGATGAGAAGCCCTGGGGCGGGGGCGTAATCTCCTTCACTCGGCCTCACCCATCCATTTAATCCTGAGCAGACACTTGCCAGCCGCTGTAAAAACACCCGCCGGCCAGGCCTGCAGTTAAAGAGAGCCACCTGCTCCCTACAGTACCTCAGGAAGTTTCTTACCCTGGTCAAACACCGATGGTCCTCGATTTATAGAAATCCTACCCACCTGATGGACACACTCCCAGAGTCACACAGAGTCCCAGAGTCATTGGCATAGTGACTAAAGAGTATCGAGGCACAGAGAAGTTAGATAAACACAGCTAGTAAGCAGGTAGTGGAGTTAGAATTATAACCAGGATTCTGTACTCTCAACGTCTTAGCTGGGATAAGAGAGGGAGGTGGTCCCAAGACAGACCTCAAATATGCATTAAATATTATGCCTAGGCTGGGTGCAGTGGCTCACGCCTGTAATCCCAGCACTTTGGGAGGCCTTGGTGGGTGGATGACCTGAGGACAGGAGTTCAAGACCGGCCTGGCCAACATGGCAAACCCCACTGATACTAAAAAATACGAAAATTAGCTGGGTGTGGTGGCATATGCCTGTAATCCCAGCTACTCCAGAGGCTGAGGCAGGAAGAATTGCTTGAACCCGGGAGGTGGAGGCTGTAGTGAGCTGAGATCGTGCCACTGCACTCCAGCCTGGGTAACAGAGTGAGAGTCCATCTCAAAATAAATAAATAAATAAATTATGCCTAGGCAGGCGTCCACTCCAGCCTCCCTTCTCTATCCCCCCACAACCCTGCATTGCTGGATATCAACAACTAAAATCTATACTTTCTCTGTGGCTCAGGTTCTGGGCATAGCTTATGTCCCCTAAATGTGAAGCACTGGTTGGAGGTTTAGAAGGTAGACGGGAGGCAGAGCCATCTTTTTGTGGCATTTCCAGGTGTCAAGAAAGCTCTGACAGTGCTGGATATATATTTGTCAGCTTTGTGGATGTGGGGTGGCTGTGGCAGCAGCAATGGCAGTAGCAAGGACAAATTTTTCTGACTTTTTGAGCTCCTGAACTGCCCAAGAGAGCTTTAAGAATGAAAAATGACAAGCTCAAGCATGATCAGAGGACACAAGCTTTTATGACTGCAACAGAAAACTTCCTATTTCAGGTAGCCTCAGGGGTGATGTAAAAATCCGCCTTCTCTACTGGGAAATGATTTGGAAGGAATGATATCAGAGGGTTGGTCATGAGGTCTAGGGGAATGATATGATATGGGTGTTAGAAGTAAATTTTCAGTGATGCAAAAGAAATAGCACTCGAACATAAATTTTCTCAGCAAGGCAATTTACTTCTATGGAAGGGTGCATCTTGCAGATAGAGCAATGGCAAGAGCATATTTGAACAAGGGGTTCTTATTCCTGAAGCAGGTATCCCCTACTGCTGTGTCATTCTCCTATTGGCTAGGGTTGGATCACACAGTCTAAACTCATTCCAATTGGCTATTTTAAAGAGAGAAGGGGTTTCAGCCAGAGTGGCAGGGTGATGAGTTTCCGCAGGAAAGACCGTTACAGAACAGGTGACTAAAGGTGATTCAGGTCAGAGCAGGTGACCAGGAGTGACTCAGGACAGAGCAGGTGACACACTCCCAGAGTCACACAGAGTCCCAAAGTCATTGACACAGTGACTAAAGAGTATTGAGGCACAGAGGAGTTAGATTAACACAGCTAGTAGGCAGTGGAGTTAGAATCATAACCAGGAGTCCAGGCTTTGCCACTTACAAGTGGCAGGACACTAGGATGGATCAGGACTCTAAATATGTGGGTTTGGAGGGGGACGTGCGAGGGGGACATGGGGTTTCAGCAAGAGGAATAGGTTCAGGTAACCAGGGGAACAGATGTGAACTACTGATTAGAACTAGCTGGAAGGTTGTTTACTGAAACTAGGGGCAAGGAGATGAGGAAGTTAAATTTTAAAGTGGAAAACAAGAGAACAAAGCACAAAGAAACTGAACATACTGACATATGTATATTTATTTGAAGAGAAACTTAGAATTTACTATATTTAACGTGGGTGAATCTCTTGAAATGGGCAGAGTGTGAGCATATTGGGCTCCCTAAGGAGCCCAGTTCCCTTCCATCTGGGCTCCCCAGGTGCAAAGTTTGGTGCTGCAGGTACCAGAATTACAATATAATTTTTTTGAGCATACATATAAAATGTCTAATCGCTTTTTTAAGATCGTTATCAGCTAATTCCATCATCTCAGTCATTTATCTGTTTCTATTAATTGTTTTTACTCCTGGATATGGGTCATGTTTTCCTATTTCTTTGTATGCTCGAGAATTTTTTTTTTTTTTTTTGAGATGGGGTTTCGCCCTTGTTACCCAGGCTGGAGTGCAATGGCGCGATCTCGGCTCACCGCAACCTCTGCCTCCTGGGTTCAAGCAATTCTCCTGCCTCAGCCTCCCGAGTAGCTGGGACTACAGGCGTGCGCCACCATGCCCAGCTAGTTTTTGTATTTTTAGTAAAGACGGGGTTTAACGATGTTTACCAGGATGGTCTCGATCTCTTGACCTCGTGATCCACCCGCCTCGGCCTCCCAAAGTGCTGGGATTATAGGCTTGAGCCACCGGGCCCCACCTCTTGAGAAATCTTTGTTGGATGGCAGATATACTGTTGAGACTTTATTTTATTAAATTCATTTTTTAAATGTTGGACCTTTTCTCTGGCAGTTTTTTTTTTTTTCAAACTGACAATTAAGTTATTTGAGTTCATTTCAATCCATTCTAGATTTGCTTTTGTTATAGCAGGGCTAGGAATAATTTACTCCAGGGCTAATTTAGCCCTGCTTCTAAGGTCTGACTCAGACGTCCCCAAACTTTTTACACAGGGGGCCAGTTCACTGTCCCTCAGACCATTGGAGGGCCGCCACGTACTGTGCTCCTCTCACTGACCACCAACGAAAGAGGTGCCCCTTCCTGAAGTGCGGCTGGGGGCTGGATAAATGGCCTAAGGGGGCTGCATGCGGCCCGCGGGCCGTAGTTTGGGGACACCTGGCTGACCATTCTAGGAAATCTACCCAATGCCCTGGTAGTCGCTCCACTATGGCTGGTGGGAACCCAAAGTGTTTCCACCTCTGAATGAAGTCCAGGAAAATGGCTCACTGCTTTTCAGTAATCCTTTCCCAATCTGGAGGGAGATTTACAATGTCTTTGTGAAGTTTTATTTCATGCATACACATATCCACTCAGTTAAAGATTAGAAGGATTCCCTGTGCAGATCTCTGAGGTTCTTGCTATGTTACAGTTTTAACATTGTCCTTTTCCTCAGCAATCTGCTCTGAAAATCTAGCCTCCCCAGCCTGCCTGACTCCCAATATCCAACTCCAATTTTATGAGACTTTTGTATTAGGTTCCCTTTCCCTGTTCTGCAGCTTAGAAACTGCCTATAGATAGCACGCTCAGAAAGGTGTAGGGATCAAAACATTTGTTTACTCCTTCTCAGAGATCCCAGTATTGTTCTGACTGTTGTTCAATTTTCCTAATTACTACATTTTTCTCATTATCTATTTATTTGCCATTTAGAGTTCCTCTTCTGTAAATTACCTGTCTATATCCTTTACAGTTTTTTTTTTTTTAAGAGACAAGGCCTCACTTTGTTGCTCAGGCTGGAGTGCAGTGACACAATCATGGCTTAATGCAGCCTCAACCTCCTGGGCACATGCAATCCTCCTGCCTCAGTCTCCTGAGTAACTGGTACTATAGGCACACCCCACCATGCCTGGCTAATTTTTTTTGGGAGGGTAGAGATGAGGTCTTGCTATGTTTCTCCAGCTGGCTTTGAGCAGTTCTCCCTTCTCAGCCCCACAAAGCACTGAGATTACAGGCATGAGCCGCAGGAACTGGCTACATTTTTTTTTTTTCCTATTAGGCTATATATTTTATTTTATCTATTGATTTTAGTGGTTCCTTACATACTCTAGATATTAGCCTTTTATTTAGTATTTCTTCCCTCCCTCCCTTCTTTCCTCCCTTCCTTTCTTCTTCCTTTTCTTCTTCCTTCCTTCCTTCATCCTTCCCTCCCTCCCTCCCTCCTTTCCTCCTTCCTTCCTTTCTTTTTTCTTTTCTTTTTTTTTTTTTTTTTTTGAGACGGAGTTTCGATCGTTACCCAGGCTGGAGTGCAATGGCGCGATCTCGGCTCACCGCAACCTCCGCCTCCTGGGTTCAGGCAATTCTCCTGCCTCAGCCTCCTGAGTAGCTGGGATTACAGGCAAGCGCCACCATGCCCAGCTAATTTTTTGTATCTTTAGTAGAGACGGGGTTTCACCATGTTGACCAGGATGGTCTCAATCTCTTGACCTTGTGATCCACCCGCCTCGGCCTCCCAAAGTGCTGGGATTGAGCCACTCCGCCCCACCCCTTCCTTTCTTTTTTTTTGACAAAGTCTCACTCTGTTGCCCAAGCTGGAGTGCAGTGGCATGCTCTCAGCTCACTGCAACCTCTGCCTCCCAGATAAAAGCAATTTTCCTGCCTCAGCCACCCGAATAGCTGGGATTACAGGTGCATGCCACCAAACCCGGCTAATTTTTGTATTTTTAGTAAAGATGGGATTTTGTCATGTTGGCCAGGGTGGTCTGGAACTCCTCACCTC